TCAGACTCTCGGCTCAGATCCTGCAGTTGTAGGTTCGATTCCCGTTTCGCTCCCCCCCAACAAAAAAATCAATCCTCTCTGATCAATAAAAGTAAAGTAATTCCTGTTCAGAGTCAAGGAAGGTTTAAACTACTTTTCATTTTTCATACAATAATTTAAAAGGCACAGAACTGGGTTTTGAACGAGGTCCCCTTCCTCCTCCAGATAATATTCAAAACAAAATCTTTATTAAACTAGTTACTACCATGTATCACCGACAGTCATACGCATACTTTGTATCCGTAAAGCTGTAGAAATCATTTAATTATAGGGTGATGTACTTTCAAGTAGTTGTAAAGTTAAAAGAGGCCCTGGAGGAAGGTGAGGTCGTTTTAAAAATGGTTGTGTTACTGTACAGCACCATACAATCTGTAAATACTTAGATTTCCCCCCCCCATTTTTAGTGGTGGTTAAGTATCAATATGTAAAGCTCTAGGTGTCAGGAAGTAGAGAATTAGCAACAAATTCTTAAAATGCCCTCTTTCGCTTCTCTTCTCGACAATTGGATGAACCCACATTCTGCTGTGTTTTTTCTCCCTTCTCTTCTTCCAACGATAGTACAACAGAGACACCAGAAGTATCTCTTCATCCATGGGAACTCCATGGGGAATGGGCCAATGCCAGTTCAATAAGGTTAATAAATAATATAATTTTAGCTAATTCTCAACTTCCTGACACCTATAGCATGTGTCACAACCTAGCAAAACCGCTCCGTGTGTCAGCGCCCTTACTTGGCATGTTTTAAAATCCAGCCTCTTCTCGTAAAATTAATTAAAATAAATTTAAAAAATGTCCTGGTAAAAATAAGACAAGTGTCTAGCCAGTCTTGACGTTAATTCTGTTAGTGCAGTGAACTTTCCTGAATCGATTACTCATTTCCCGCCGGTAAATGTGAGTAGAATTCATTCAACCCCGGAACCCGAGTCAATCCCGTTTATTAAATCGACCTGGGTTGTAGTTAAATGGGATTTTCCCCACTCTGTGTGACATTTGACTAGGTGTGAAAAGGGTGTCTCAGAAACGGAGGAAATTCGAGGACGAAAGCTTCCTTTGTCGTAGCATATTTATATTATAAAAGCCGAGACAACTTTGCTGCTGGTTCAATGCTCCGGGGCAGTTTTTTCCCGTGTGCGAATATTTTCTAGAAGCTTTTGAAAGAAGGCAAAGGGGGTGAAGGGGAAATAACCCTTTCTTCTCGGGTGTGTATATAAGCAGGTGGACTGTGATAAGCAGCTTATTTGGCTTTTTGACACCCCGTAATTGGAGACGTTCTTGCAAGTGGCCCAAGGTGAATCTGAACCCTTGAAATTTCCGGATATCCAGACTCTGCCGTTGAAATTGACACTGTACCGAAGTTCTATCTGACTGTAGGAAAAAAAATTCTTCCAGGATCGTACAAAAGTAGATCGCGTTTTAACTGTGAAACGTGATATTGTAAAAGACTAGACGGCCTGAGTCTGCCTGAGAGTGTCAGAGTTAAATCCACCCCTCCCAGGGCTGATCACATTTACCAAAAGTCCAAGTCGGAACAAACGAGATTTTGTTGTAGTCGGATGAAACCAGTTTACAGAACCTGTCGGGAATAATGGTATAGAATAGAAGGAGATCTTCCAATTACCCATGTTATCACTAATTACGGTAATATAATATTAACAGTCGTAAAAATATATCCATGGCAAAAAAGTGTTGTTAACTGGTTTGTAAAATATAACTAAAATGTCATCTAAAATTATAAAGCATGTTACGAATACTTTGCCAGCGGCAAAAAGAATAACTCGTTGAAACACAAAGTAGAATGCTCGTTTATAACCTAACACTAACTCTTACCCTAACCTAACTTTACCTACGTTAAGCCTAACCCTACTTAACCTAACCTAACCCTACCCTTTTCCCGCGAAATCATATTAAAAAAGTGAAGTGATTGTTAAGTATTATTATTATGATTTATTAATTGTTAATAAATAGTTTATGGAATTTTAAAAGACTATAACTCGTCAAATGTCATATTTCAGCAGTTCATAGAGAAATGAAAAATGTAAAATCAAATGTATTTAGATTAGGTAACAAGTAAAAAAAATCTTTGACGCGCAAATGGTCACCCTAAAACATATCTATGTTAATGAGTTTTATTCTTTGTTCTGTTACACGATTGACACTAACCTCACCTAACCCTACCTCTGTCTAACGTAACCCAATGGTGAATGGCACATGGTCACTAAAAACATATCCTTGTTAATCAATGTATTGTTTACTTATAACGACAATGGGCAATCATTTTCATTTTTATCTTTTTCCTTTTCCTAAGGCATTTTTTGATTATTTAAGGAATAAAACATCTGAACGCGAAGTGAATGAATGTTTAATCGTATTTTTGGATGGAATGTGAAATTTATGTTAAAAATGAGCTTGATTTTTATAGGAATGAAGTTGTCAAGAAAACATACACGTATTTGTTGAACGTTAACTGTTATTTATACTTAATATAAATTTAAAAATTAAAATTTTTAAAGAATGGTCAAACATGGCCAATTTTTTCTTTTTTCTTGTGCAAATGTTGCGAAAGTCCACTGGCTGTTACATGTACGAAATATGGAAAATATATGATGAAAAAAAAATACGATTATTGAAAAAAAAAAATCCTTCTTCCAGTTTTTCTTATTTTCTCGTTTTTATTCCTAGCTCTTTTTTGAAGAGAACGGATATTATCAACTTTTCCACGCCTGTTATAAAATCATATCCCAAATTTGATCAAACATGATATAATTATTGAACGGTTGTGACATGATGGTGGAAATTTCATTAAAATTAGTCCAGGACCCTAAATATACAGGGTGTTCGTTTTAGATGGTCCTGCTGAATTTCTCTTGAACCAATGACGCTATAAAAAAATCCTTGTTTAATATTTTTTTAGTCTTGTTTCAAATTTTTCTCTTTTTTTGAGAAAATTATACAGGGTACCTAGGCCCAGTTCAGCTTCAAAATTTCAAACACGACCCTATACATCTTGACACATCATTGTAAAGGGGTTTTTACGCTGAAAACCATGGTGCAATCGGATTTAAAATTGGTCAAAAAATGACAAAGCTGTGACAAAAAGAAACTGGCAGCGTAATTTCGACGAGGCCCTGAATATTTCAATTAATTATTCTTTTTATGTAAGGTCTCGGTTGAGAAGAAAAAGTTAGTGTCACGATCGGGGACTTAAAGTAAGTAATTTGGTCAATAAGACCACTAAAACATAATGGATTTTACTGTATGTTCGCGAAAATCCGTATTTCTCCGAACTGTTGGAAGGGTTTTAGGTTTTTCAAAAAATAAAATTCGAGATGTACTCCGGACTTAAAATTGTAGCCGTATCGCTCTGATTTTGTCCCGGGACTTCGGCACTCTGATTAAGACAGGCGTCTAACGTTCCTTGCATGAATGTCGATTTGGGATGCTGAAGAAAACGTTCTTTCATACATCCTATGGTCACCCCTAATGGCATACTAAACCATTGGGATTTACGAACGTGGGCAGAGGAAAATCCGAGAATTTCGTACTCTTGTCATCATCAGGTGGTTCACAGTATCAACTTGGTGGTGTGGACTTCTCGGAAATACAATAATTTCTACGAAAATAATTTAAATGGTTCTCAGTTCCTCAATTTGTTGAGGTTGGTTTTACCAACACTATTAGATGATGTCTGCGACAACGACAACGAATGAATCTCCAGCTTGATGGATGCCCCGCACACAATTCTTTCCAGGTGAGACGCTTCCTCGGTCACCCGATTTACCTACAATTGACTATTTTCTGTGGGGCCATTTAAAAAACAGTGTCTTCATTGTCATAACCCAGCAATCTCAATTGAAGAACTAAGCAGAGGATAGAAAATTCTTGTCAATCCATCTCCCCTGGCTCTATCGCTTTGGGCATCGACAAGTGATTAAAAAGAGCAAATCTTTGCATATTTACGCAAAGCGGGTAGTTCGAACATGAAATTTGATTAATATAAGTAGCAAATCAAATGACTGTTTTTTTCCAAACTTTCTTCCATAACTTTGTCATTTTTTGACCAATTTAAAATCCTATTGTACCATTGCTTTCATCCTAAATACCCATTTACCATGTGTGTCAAAAGATGTATAGGGGGGTACTTTAAATTTTGAAGTTGAACTGGGCCTGAGGTACCCTGTATAATTTTTCTGAAAAAAGGTAAATATTTGAAACTAGACTATAAAATAATAAAAAAAATTTCTAGCGTCATTGGTTCAAGAGCAATTTAGCTTGGCCATCTAAAAAGGACACCGTTAAAAGTCCCATGCTCCTACCCAACTATAAATAAGAAAAGTAAATGTAAATACTTGTTTAAATGGCCCTAACCCTAACCCTAACCCTACATAACCTAACCCAACATGTCCCCAACGCGAATTGATACGCAAAATAAATATATCCCACTTAAAAAACATACCCCTTGTAAAAAATAAATAAAAAGCAAATCAAGAGGTCTAATCTAATATAATCGAAAAAGTGATCTAAAAAATTTTACGGAAAAAGTCGATCTGAATTAGGGCCTTACAATTTTAGGCCGTCTCACCGATTCGTGCCAAGATGACAGGTCCTATCTGTACGGTAGATCTGGCTGGGATACCTGAATATCTAGAGATCGCAATCAGAAATTCTGTTGGACAGGTGGAATTTCACGAATTTCTAGTTTTGTAAATATTATAACAAGACGCACGATTCTTTTAATAGCCGATTCTGCATTTATTTTTATAGCTTTTAAAAGAAATAAATTTACATTGAAACACTAGTTGTCAGATTATGGACTTTATTTCGTTTTAAACCCTACATTATCTTAAAATTGAATTGCCACCAGTTTTCTTAAGTTTTGGGTACTATGAGGTTTTTGTTTTCCTCTACGAAAATCTTCAAAATATAAAAGAAAGAAACAAGGGATAGAAAAGATTTTGCGTATATCACATTAAAAAAGTAATTTTAATCATATCCCATAGATGCCAAAATGTGTCTTCTGGCATTATTTACCGATAATAAAACGCCTCTACAATTTTTTTTAAATATTGGCGTTTGTGGTATTCGCAGCCATAGGTTTAATTATCCCACATCAAAGTTTAAGGATTTTTTGAAGTTGAAACACAGTATGTTAAAACTAATTCCCCTCTTTCTTGATTGATGTGGTTGCCTTTGGGAATGGACATGGGTTGTTTTGGTTTAATCATCGCCACCAGTCATAACTTCCATGAATTCTAATAACAAAAATTAAGGAACGAATAAATTTTTTAATCTGATAAACGGGACTTAATGTAAGTAAGACATACCATCGAAGTCAACTGTTCCAGATCCATCGGAATCAATTTCAGCGATCATCATGTCCAATTCCTGGGATGTAATTTTATCATCGAGTTCTTTCAAGATTTCCCTGAGGACGGCTGTTGTGATGTAGCCGTTACCTTAAATGGGAAAAGTTTTGAAACTTCCTTTCAAATACTATTGTACGTTTTTATCGATACCTTCTTTGTCGTACAACCTGAATGCTTCTCGGAGTTCTTGTTGCATGGCTTCGGCATCCTGGTCTTCTTCTGTCAAGAATCCAGCAGCCAGTGAGACGAACTCCTCAAATTCCAGTTGGCCGGAACCTTCAAACGATCTATCGTTGTAATCAGCACAGATTCGGAAAGTTTATCTCTTACCATCGGCGTCGACTTCTTCAATGATCTCCTTCAATCTAGCCTCGGAAACCTCATGGCCCAACATCTGAAGGATGGTGCCGACCATGTTGGCCTCAATATAGCCCTTGTTCTGGGCGAAGGCATCGAAAGCCCTCTTAAGAACTGTAATGCAGAAATAAATAAAATTAATAAAATTACTGGCCCTACCGGGGTAACATTAAAAATGTTAAATTGCAAACTTACGTTGGATTTGGTCTTTAGTAAGATCATCCTGGAACATAATAAAAACGTTAATTCTATTAATCTTTTTCCCATAATTTTTTGAGATAATGTAAAAGGTTCTGCTTTACAACTTTAAGCGATGATTTATTTTGTAGCTTGATCACCCAGGTCCGCCTAGTTTCGCCGGTTATGTCTAGTCTTTAACCCAACTCTGATTTCAATTCGTACTGTCGTAAATTTACGCATTTTATAGCTTTTACAGTCAAACGAGTCCTTTTTACTTTCAAATTCACCCTTTTTTAAATATTAAAGAATCTAGATAGAAATGTAAAGTAAAATGCGTGCACTAAAAAAATAAATATATATATATATATTTGTGTGCGCGCGCGCGGGTGCGTGAGAGAGAGAGAGAGAGAGAGAGAGAAAGAGAGAGGGTGAGAGAGAAAGTGAGAGAGAGTAGTGTGTGTTTGTGTGTATAAAATAATTGAGGCACTTAAAAAACCATATGAAAATTACAATTAATTGTGATATATTTACATTTCAGTCAAGTTATCATTTTTTAACCATTATATAAAAGGAGAATCCTATAGTTTAATATTTAATTTTATCATTTTTAATTATAATTACAATTTTTTTCATATGGTCCACCAAATTTTAATAAGAGCAATTAGAGTTAAAAAACACAAAAAAACCAAAATGATCTCAAATTAAAAGAAAAATAATTTAGTTTTTGCATTTAGTTGTGATTTTGTTAATTTAGTGGTATAATATTATATTTAATTGATTGATTTTTTAATTTTAATTATAATTATTTTTCAAATTGTGTTTAAGAGCCCAATTATTTTAAATTTTTAAATAATCTCAAATTAAATGAAGAATCATTTGTTTTGATATTTAATTTTCTATCCTTTTTAATATTAGTTCTAATTAAATTTCATGTGGTATATATAATATAACAATTTAATTGTTTTGTATTGAAACAAATTTAACAAAGAATAATTTGTTTCTATTGATTAGTTTTTATATTTAATTTTTTTGTAATTATTTTATATATTTCATACCATCTAAGTTTTTAAACAACTTAAAAAAAAGTTAATTTGAAATTAAAAAGTTAATTTCAGTTCTCTAATAGAAAATAATTTTCCCATGGACTTCTAAGGACCCAGTTGTTTTGTATTTAATTTTTTTATTCAAGGGAGGAATTATTCTTTACAAGCTTATATTTCATACCATCTCCTAATGTTTTTAATGATTTAATGATTGCAATGCTTTGAAGTTAAAAAGGGTTAAATTGAAATTAAAAAGGATTAAATTGAAGTCAAAAAGGGCTTGATGTGAAAAATGGTTAATTTGACGTAAACAAGCTCTATATGAAAACGCAATATTACAAACACAAATATGCCCGTCCACTGATGATGGCGTGTAGCTAAGCAGCTTAATTATAGATAGCACCATGTTTAATATACTAAGTGAATATGATTTTCGTTGGAATTTGATTCACTAATCAATTTTTTAAATGTGATTTACGTAAAAATAACAATGACAACTACTTCGGAAAAGGTTTCTCATTTGCATAAGTATTTGTAAAACAGTTGAAAAAGCGTAGACCTACTAGCAGAAAATCATTGAGAAAAGTGACCTTATTAGCTTTGGGACAAAATTGGGTACAAATCTTTCGTTTTCTTATGGCCGTGCTATTTTGCCAATCCTTTGAAACGTATTTGTTTATTTTTTTTATTTTATTTTTTTTTGTCTCCCCTTTTAAGTCCTTCTTTTTTAAAAACCCCTTTGCCCACGCGTGCCAGACAGTTGAAAACGTACAGCCTCAGGGTGGGAGGCGATTCTTATCTTTGAAGTTGGAGCCAAGAGGGGAAAAAAATGGGTATTTTTTTAATATGTTAAAATTGGAGATATTTTAAAATAAATTAAAATTAACACAAAAAAACCCGAACAAATTGCTACACAGTGACTGATTTTATTTGTTATAGTGCCAACCCTTCAGCTACACGTGGATACTGTTTTCCACTACTTTATTTTTTTTTTAATAATAAAATTGATTAAAACAAAATAGTTTAAATACTTAAAGTATTTTATTGGTGTATTATATTTTATTGAAGTCAGTTCCCAACAAATGAAATGTTGAAATGATCACTTAAATTAATTAAGTAATTAAGTATCGTAATTAAATTACGTCGGTGGATTAACATTAATGCACTAATGATTAAAAATATGTTAAATAAACTGGTTTTTTTTGTACGAGGCTGGATTTCAATATATTTTGACGTTCTATTATTTATTTACGCCAAAAAATCATATATTTTAAGATTTAAAAAAAATTTTTAACCTTCTTTAATCAGTATCACTTTAATTCTTGTGCTGCTTAACAATTAAGGAAATATGAAAGAAATCTGACTATCGAAGTAGATAGTTGTCTTTTCCTATCATCAATAATTTTGATGATTGTAGGTATTCATTTTTGTAAATCCCCCCTTATATAAAATATATTAAATATAAAAATAAAAATTCCCTTAATTTTCTTTCGATAATTAATTCGCCAATAGCCTGTGTCACTTACCATGGCTGCTGGCTGCTCTAGGCTGATGTTTAGCGGGACGGCGTCTCCCTCGAACTGGCTTCCCTTATATTTCAGGCACAGCTATTTCTCTATTTGCTTTTTGGCAATTGTTCCATTGTTCACCCCACTCTGGGACTCGGTGCAATCAGTTATAAATCCCCCATATAGCTAATGGAACAACGGGCTATAAGGACCTGACATTAATTTTATGTCTCCATTTCGAGTGATTTTTTCATTTGAAACAATCGTATCTTTAACCTAGCCGTCCCGCGTGTCGCGCCTCTTTAATTTTCCCACTTTTTGTAAGGTTTTCTCTCATTCGTTGCCCCCTTTTTTTGTATCTTCCCAAGTCACTGTTTACGATGTGTTTTTTTTTTTTTTTGGGCTGTTTTGTATCGTTGATTCCAGGCAACTCGAGAATTGGCGATTTTCACTTTGCTCTAATAATTCTTTGTTTTCTCTGTATTTTTTTTTTTAACTTTGCCTGGTTGCACTATATAGGAAATCGCTTAGAGAATTAAAATTATCCTTAAATCACTATAAAAAAATTAATATCGACGAATTTATGATTTCGCATATAATTTATGACACTTTACTATGTTTATATTCAATAGGTAAATATTGCCTTGAGTGTAGAAACTTTGAAACTATTATTATATAAAATATCCATGATTTTTTGCAATCAAATTAGCGATTTTTTATTTTTAAATTAAACTTTTTTACCTTCAGATTAACTGATTATTTAACCATTTTTTCAAATAGCCAGTTTTTAATTTCAAATTAAGCCTTTTTTTAAACATCATAAAAGCCCTAGGGGATAGTATACACGTAAACTAAAATTACTGCACTTAAAAAAAATATTTGGCTCTTAAATGACCTGAAATATATGAAAATTAATTACAGTTAAAATAAAGATTGTATGAATTTAAATATAAACAAAAATTATCCTTCTTTTAATTTCATATTGTACTAAATATTAATACTAAATATAGTTAATTGGGTTGTTAAAAATAAATAAAAATAAAACACCGTACGAAAATTAATTACAGTTAACATTTAAAATGATTTACAATGAAATATTAAACTAAAATATTTTCCTTTTATATAGTGATTAAAAAATTTCTCGAACTAACTGAAATACATAGGTTTATTTCAGCATTTTGCAATTATAGTATAAAATTTATGCTCGTAAACTCAAATTACTGCACTTAAAATTGTTGGCTTATTGAAATAATTGGTTAATTGGGTTATTAAAAATATATGCAAATAAAAAGCCATATGAAAACTAATTACAGTTAACATTTAAAATGATGTAAAATGAAATAATAAAATAAAAAATTCTCCTTTCATATAGTGATTAAAAAATTTCTCAAACAAACTGAAATATATAGGCAAAACAATAATAATATTATATTTATTATTTCAACATTTTACTATATTTTACGTATAGATTTTATTGGCATGTTATAACGGCATAGAAAAGACAGTCTGTCGGACGTCAACCAAAAATTTATCAAATAAAACAAAAACCATAGATTAAAAAATAATTCAGAGCCCGTTGATATAAGGAGAACAATGAAAATACCATACATACAATTATGAACTAATAAGATATTTATATTTAGAATATTTTTAGAAATTTATATAATAAAAACAAACAAAGTATATAAAAATATATAAAACATAAACTTATATATACATATATCTTCCTTCTAAATTAGAAACTCAAATTTAAAAGTTGAAAAGTTTTACTAGTTTATATCAACTATAGTTATAAATGAAAATTAATAATTTTATATAATAATTATATAACACTGAAAGCATATAGCATAGTAATTAATTTTCGTATGGTCTTTTATTAAGTGGCCAATTTGAAGTTTACTTATTTTATAATTTAAAAAAATTCAAATTAAAAGAAGAACCCTTTATTCATATGTGTAATCTCAAATTAAAAGAAAAATTATTTGTTTTTATATTTAATTTTAACAAATGAATTTTAAATTTTTTCGTGTTCTTGGTCTTCAAAGGGCCAAGATTTTATAACACACACACACACACACACACAAAATCTGTAATATAAAATAATTTGACTTCATATAGTTTCAGTCAATTAAGAACCCGACCCATCCAGTTCCAAGCTCATTCATACTTACGTTTATTCTTAAATTCATTCTCTCCTATACATACCATACATTGGTTTAGGATGGAACTCAATGGAATTCAATTCGAGGCTATTCCTAAATTCATTAACACTCACTCACCCTACATACACTGACCCATTGACATACCATTCACTCAATCAGGGTAGTGGAGCATTCGATATTCTTCCACAACCTTTTACACATATTATACAACTAACCTAATTGACGGTCGATGGGTACTCAATATACCGCCATCGACCAACTCAAATCATATATTCATGTAATAAATAGATTCAGGCTAATAAATACGTTCACTCTCAGCACATGCTAGGCACACAAAAACTATCATTACGAATACTATAAAACAACCTTGTTTTCTCCAAAAATCGGAACAGGGATCCAATACTCGGTACCATGATTAAGCACGATTCTCATATCCGATGGCATTCTTACACGCTCTCTATATGGAGCCAAGGAATTGCCCCCCTCAGCTAGCTGGGACACATTGAGCAACCTTGCTCTACACGACGGACACATAGCGGGCTTTGGCCCAAAAGTGCTCTTCCGACTCGGCCCACTGACGCTGCCACTTTTTTAAATCACGTTTTTATTTCATTTTTGAGGACCTGATCGCTATGATTAGATGCGGAGGTTGGGACGCCCGGTAACTAGCCGCATCGTCCGCCTTTTCATTACCCTCCAGACCTATGTGTCCGGGTATCCAGACAACAACCACCGTTTGCCGGGACGCTTCAGTTCGTGGTATCTCTCCAACAAAACCACTGCGAGGGTCGTCGGAAAACCCACACTCTGGCCGGTCTTAGGTCCGTCTGTGAAGACGAGGCGAAAACCGGCGTATCTCGATCTAAGTTCTAAGTACTTAGATCGGTAAAGGTATGAGTAGTAGACGACAACGGTAACGAGCGAAGTCGTTCAGACGAGTAAAGGGGAAGACCCAGGTTGGAGTCGCCAGTTGCCCAGCTCGAGTGCCGTTCCAAGTATCATCCCTACGCTCCTTAAGGCATCCCGAAACATATTCCTAGAGGTCGCGTCCGGGTCTGAAGTCGCTCGTTTATTCTACTGTATTGGTATCTAAGGATCGCACCCTAAAGCGGATACCCCGGTTTGGCAAGGAACCCCGCCGCATTGCAGAGGGTTAGCTTCTCCCTAAGAAGAAGGCGGCAACACTTCCACTTCGCAGTGTTAATCTAGATTCATTCGTTTCTGTGACTACACACACTGGCTAAACCTTAAAAGTTTTATGGTGCCATTTCTCAACGTATGTTACGCCAGAGACAATACCCCATGGTTGTGAATAATTGTCGACCAGCATACACTTTTTAACAGATCAAAAATTGACAAGTTCCAACTTCAGTTCACCCTTAGTGTAATAATTATTGTTTTCTCCGCCTAATTTTTTAAAAATGTTTTTCTGTTTCAGCTGGTGGGGGGAGAATTCGACATGGAACTGAACTTCGTTATCCAAAACGCAACAAACATAAAACACATGCTAGATCTGTTGGACCATTGCCCTCCAAATCTACAGGTAAATAAACATTTTTTTCATATTGATTTTCACTGAAGACAACAGGCTTAGTTGTATTTCGTTTATATATAATTTAGTTGTTATCATCCAATAACCCACGTCATCATCGATTATTTTGCCCCTTCCCGATTGAATTAATTTGAAACACGAACAGAAAAGATGAAAAAATTGAGTATTTTATAAAATTATACTTACGTTGTTCATTTTGTAACTTTATTCTTTTTTACGATTGTTTTTTTGTTACTTTCTTTTTTAATCGAGCCAAAAGAGAAGTTACAGCTTTTTCGTTAACATTGATATATTTTTGGGCTGGGTATACAAATAATTTTTCGTATCATTGGTTTGACCCTGGGTTAGGTTAGGTATGGTTAAGGTTATTGTTAAATACATTTAGGTTGGCTTAGGGCGAATTAGGTTAGGCTAGATAGTTTTTCGCGAGTTTCGGTAATGTTTGTTCCATATTTATGCGAAAGTTTTTATTTTTAAAAACAGTTTAATTATAACAATTCAATACATTTATTCTACCTAATAAATAAAAATTATATTTTTTTTAAATGATCTATACAGTTAAACTAACTTGATATTTGAGAAAATGGCAGCATAGCATGTGGTTATCGACATTCTGGAGATTGCCGTTTTGAACTATCTTCCCTGCGGTGTTTTTTTATTTTGTTTTTTAAATATTGTTAATTATAGCACTATTTAAAGTTACTTTATTATAAAACTTTTTTTTGATAATGTAAGATTTTTATGGTCATGTTTTTGGTACACAAATCATAATATATATTCGATCTTTTAATGTATTAATATAATTTTTAGCCTGTACATATATTACATATTAAAAATTTGTGCTTATACGGTTTCCTTGGCCAGCATTCCACGCGGAGGACACAGGTCAAAAGAAACAAAGGATGAAAATAGGTTTTGAGGGCATCGTTTCCTTAAGGAGACTTGATGGGTTCTCAGGGTGGAAATACGTAGATAAGTCTTGGGCAGTGGTGTTAGGATGGGACGAAAGCTCGGTGTGAAACATTTGGAAGGGGGAATATTTGTCGTCACCTCAGACAAAATAAATGTTGAAGTCCTTGTGGAATGTTGAAGTCTTTGTGGACGTACTAAAGAGCTTTGACTAGTTAATTGAGGACTTCTGATTGGAAGGATTGAATGCACTGGATGTTGGACGACTTGGCTGAATCCCACAGCATGCCCAGAATGGTGGCAGTCTTGAAGAAAGATAGTTCAGTTTTGGCGGTCAAATTTATGCCCTAGTCTTCTTAGTTGCCCAAGTTTTCTTTTAAGTCTTACGTGGGGATTCGATACCGTTGTCTAGCTATAGTCCTAATTATCTGATTTGAGTAGAAGTGGGTAGTTCCTTGTTTTTTCAATTATTCATCTTCTCCACGTTTAGCACTAGAGTTTGATAAAATAAAGGTGTTCGTAATGATGGTATTAGGGTATAAGAAAATAGGATGGGACCTTGTGGCTTATCCTTATTCCTTACCTCATCTCACTCTAAAGCAGCGGTCGGTTGAACACGTTTCCAGGGTAAGGTAGTAAATAGTTTAATGGGCATGGATATGTTTTTGTGCTGAGTACACAAATAATTTTTTCGTATCATTGATTTGACTCTGGGTTAGGTTAGGTTAGGCAGGGTTAAGGTTAGTGTTAGGTTGGATTGGGGTTAAGGTTAGGGACGAGTTAGGTTAGGTCTACTACGACAGTAAGCGTTTAAGTTTATAGAAGATATCTTGGTGACCATATCAAAAGTAAAAAAAGGACCAAACTGTGTGAAAGTAGGTGATAATTTTTTAAAATGAGTCTTTCGAGAATTTTGGACATCACAGGAAGAAGGTTAATGGGTCTGTAGAAGCTGGGCTTGGGAGGCTCGTTAGTTTCCACGTGGATAAATTTTACACAATAAAGAAATCCTTGATTATTTTGTACCGTACATAATTGCTTTGAATTGGTTCTGAATACAATTCGTTTCAGAAAGGAAGCGTTATGGCGTTTTAATTGGTGAAATAGGTTTTTTATATTTTTTATGCCGACTCATAATTAGTAATAAAAATTCTATAATCACCTGCTCTCACCTCATTCATCCATTTTTATCGTTTAGTTATAAATTAATTTCATGCAGTTTCAACTCGACTGATACAGTTGTATAATGAATAAAAAGTCGCAGTTTGATCAAAGTAATACCAAGATTTATATTGCCCTCATTTGTCAACAATAAAACCACAATAAAGTTTAACTTTGTCAAAGGACGTGAATAAATTTAATTATAGCTTGAGCAAGTTCGTAGATGCTAAGCTTAACGCGCGTACTGTTAATAAAGTGAAAGAACGACGAAGAAGGCGTAATATTTATTAGATATTAAACACTATGCTGCACACAGGAACAAGTTTCACGTTGGAGTAAGACATGCAATAAATGTTTTTAGGGTTGCACTTAGATCGTGAAAGATTCACATAAACCGAATTTATAGGAACACTCGATGCAAAAATCCAAACCAGAATTCTCAAGTATAGGGGCAGACCGTTGTAAAACGGAAAACGCTTTCCTCTCTACTTTCCGAATTATTAAAAAGAGTAGAGTTTTATTTCAGTGTGGAAGGTATAAATACACCTTCCAAGGTACAAGAGGTTCACATCTACCCCTGAGAATCCAGCTGATTGAGCCTAAATCCAAATAACTGTCTGTTTATACAGAAATTAGTCTTGAAAAGATCGGCTGAAGCACAACCCAAACTTGCCTATGCAAACAACGAAAATGAATCATTGATTTTTTCATAAGTGTATCTACGTCTTGCCAAGCCAAGCATAAATGTTTTGTGCATATATCGAAATATATTTTTGTTTATAAACCGAAAATAATATGTATATGTATATACCATAACTTCATACCAAGCACGACCCCAAGTTATCTGTGCATAGATCGACAATATTTTGGTTATAAACATAAGTGGATATAACTTCGTGCTAATAAGCACAACAAACGTTTTCTGTGCATATATAAAAAAAATTTTTTTTAACGGAATAATGAATTAATGTAAATTTTTACCAAGCACAGCTCGAAGCGCATATGTCGAAAACAATTTTTTTTATAAACAGTACCATGAATGAATATAACTTAGTGCCAAGCACGAGCCCAAATTTTCTGAACAAACATTGAAATATAATTTTGTTAATAAACCGAATAATATGTATATGATTATACCATAACTTCATACCAAGCACGACCTCAAATATTTTGGTAATAAACAGTGTAATAAGTGGATATAACTTAGTGCTAAGCACAAAAAACATTTTCTGTGCATATATCAAAAAGTATTTTTTTTTACAAACAGAATAATGACAATGTAAATTTTTACAAAGCACAGCTCCAAATGTTTTGTGCATACGTCGAAAACAATTTTTTCATAAACAGTATAATGAATGAATAAAACTTATTGCCAAGCACAACCCCAAATTTTCTGTGCAAATATCAAAAAATATTTTTGTTAATATACCGAATAATATGTACGTATATGAACAGACCATAACATCTTAACAATCCCAAATTTTCTATATATCGAAAAGGAATTGTTAAATTTTTAATGAACTGTATAAAAAATTAATGTAACTTTGAGCCAAGTACAATCCCAAGTCTTCAGTGCATATATAGACAAGATTTTTTCTAAACTGTTTAAAGTTAATATTACTTCATACCAAGCACAACCCCAAATCTTTTGTGCAAACATCAAACATATTTTTGCTATAAACAGTTTAATGACGTATTATTCTTTTGTGCGAAGTAAAGCTGCAAATGTTTTGTGCGAACATCAAACATATTTTTTTTATAAACAGTTTAAGACTTGTTTCACTTTTGTACCAAACACCGCTGCTTTGTGCTGTTTTGTGCATACATTAATTTTTTTAATGCAATATAATACGTGAATGTTACTTCGTATCGAGCACAACTTCAAATTTCTGTGCATTATTTTCGTGCTTAGCACGAAGTCACTTATAAAAAAAAATATAATTCGCAAATATACTTCCTACCAAGTACAAACATCAAAGTTTTTGTGAATGTATCGAAAATGAGTTGTTCATTTTCTTATAGACAATACAATTTATATTATTAGTGAATATACCTTAGTAGCAAGCACATGCTTTGTGCATACATCGGATGTAACTATTTTACAAACAGTATAACCAGCGAATGTATATAAATCCGTGCCAAGTACAACCCCAAATTTTCTCTGCATATGTATAAAAAAAAAGTTTTTCGTAAACAGTATAACAAGTTAATATACTTCGTAGCAAACACAATTTATCGAAAATAAATTGTTAACTTTATATACGTTTATCTAACGTCTTGCCAAGCTCAATCCCAAACTTCCTGCATATCTATCGAAAATATTTTTGTTAATAAAAAGAGTAATATGTATATGATTATACCACAATTTCATACCAAACACAACCCCAAATCTTCTGTGCCAAGATTGACAATATATTTTTTTCATAGACGTGTAATAAGTGGATATAACGTCGTGCTAACCACAACCCAAAATTTTTTGTTAATGTATCAAAAACAATTCTTTAGAAACAGTATAACGATTGAATGTAACATTGTATCAAACACAATCCCAAATTTTATGTGGGTAAATAGAAATTTTTTTGTACGCATTATAATTAGTAAATATAATCTCGTGCAAAGTACAACCCCAACATTTCTGTGTATGCGTAGGTAATCAATCATTTTTTGCGAACAGTATAGTGACTGATTATAATTTTTACCAAGCATAGCTCCAAAGGTTTTGTACAATTTTTTTAAAATAATCAGTAGATTGATCGAATATAACATAGTACGAAACACAGCCTAAAATTTTCGGGTTTTTTTTATGAACAGTATAATGATTAAATGTAAGCTTGTACCAAGCACAACCCCAAATCTTATGTTCATATATGAAAAATATAAATTTTTTTAAAATTTTATATATATTTTTTTTAGCAGTAATGACTGAATATAACTTCGTACCAAGCATATCCACAAATTTTCTGTGCATATATCAATTTTTTTAATACAATATAAGTGAATACAATTTGGTACTAAGCACCACCCCAAGTTTTGTTTGCATATATAGAAAACAATATTTTTTAATGCAGTATAATCATTGAATCTAATTTGCTACCAAGCACAGCTCCTTTTTTTTAAAATAAACAGTAGAGTGATTGAATGTTACATAATACCAAACACAACCTAAAATTTTCTGTGCATATATCGAAACAATTTTTTTATGAACAGTGTAATGATTAAATGTAAGTTCGTACCGAGCACAACCCCAAATCTTCTGTTCATTTATGGAAAATATAAATATTTTTATGTTATTTTTTAAAAACAGTAATGACAGAATATAACTTCGTACCAAGCATATCCACAAATTTTCTGTGCATACATCAATTGTTTTAATACAATATAAGTGAATATAATTTGGTACTAAGCACAACCCCAAATTTTCTTTGCATATATAGAATTGAAATATGCAAATATAATATTGAGTGAATATTGCAGTATAATAAGTGAATCTAACTTGGTACCAAGCACAACTTCCATTCTTTTGTGCATATGTATATCGAAAATTATTTTTTATGAACAATATAATAAGTGAATAATAACCTCGTGCCATAGCCACAAATTTTCTGTGCTTAAATCGAAAAAAATTGTAAATTTTTTTATAAACATTATAGTAAGTTAGTGTAACTTCATACCAGTGTTTTAAATATTAAATAAATAATAATTTAATTATTGAGTCATTAAATTGTTATCTGCTCAGTTAGAGGTAATTATTGCCTGGGCCCCTTAGTCGAATTGCGTACTCAGTTGTCAATTTGGCATTCCGGCCAATGTTAATGTCAGGTGTATTACAACGCATTAGGACAAATTACCATTAATGTGTGGAGTAATAGGGGAACAAGAGAACCTGGAATTTCCTCCTTGTACGCGGCTTCGATCCATTCGGAAACATTTTATCCGTTTCGGTAGAAATTCCAGGCGTATAAACTGATTTGTAAGAGGGTGCTAGAGAGCCAGTCAACATATCGGGCCAACTTCTGCCCCTGGGGGAATAATGATTTGCACAAGACGCTGATGCATGATTCTTCTCCCTAAAATCGAGACTCCCGCTAGGGTGTCGGTCCCTGTAAAGCTCGGGGTCCGATCGAAACATCCACCCTCACCAACCCCCCGGCCACCCCTAAACTCTAGTAGTTGTATGAATTTAATTGCTGGAATGTAAGAAAACAGCTTTTTTTTTATTAAAAGAATTTATTCGCCAAGCCTAAAAGTTTATCTTCATGGAATGCCTACCTATATGCATGTTCATGTTTAAAATTGTTTTAATGCCAGGAGTATTTAATTATGATTTTTTTAAAGGACAATTTAAAAAATATAGGTTCAACTGTAAACGTAAATTAAAAAAAAAACCTTAGCTTTTGTTACTTGTTAGAAGTCCAACTTATTAAACATGACTTTATTACAAATTAATAGCCGTGCAATAGTAAAAATAATTAAGCGCTAGATTATTACCCGTTTTCGTATCGTATATTAATATAATCGTTTATAGTTAATTTCTAAAAACGGCCAACAGGGCACCAGGCAAGCAATTTTTGGCCCAAAGCGGAATCTAAAGGTATTTTCTCACGTCGGCTCGTCGTCTAGGTTTATTTTCGTCTTGCTTATGTTGATTTTAGCCAAGTCGGTTGGACATTGTATCTACTTGAGAATGTGTAATGGTTGGGGGGAATTCCTGCATTCTTTTCATATTGTTATACGTTTGGATTGTAGATTCTATTCATATCTTGAGTCGTCACGGTATCCACAAAAATTAAACTTAATGACAAATGACTTGTATCAATCTCATATTTATTGCGATTGACAGACAAGGAAATATCCTTAATTGAATAATTTCATATTCTTCTTTTCTACGTTTTTGTTGCCCTTATTTTTTTTTAAATTTTTCTTATTTTCAGCCCCTTTTTTGATGGCGGTTAATGACATTTTCCAAAATGCACGATGTTTCGGAATCCTGTGCCATTTTTAAGTGGTTTACAGAAATTAACCACGTACTAATCGTAATAAATAAAATAAAATAAAAATTCGATGTATTCACAGAAAATTTGGGGTTGAGCTTGTACTAACTTATATTTTTTACTATTCTTGTTTCGGTTATTAAGATATTTCTTGGGTTTCTTTCCAGGAACTAGACAACCATCAAAATGGATCGTTATTTTACTATCGTTATTAGTTACTAAGTTATTTTTAGTCGTTATACTGATTCTACACAGAAATTGTGTTCGATATATTCACATAAAATTTGGGGTTCAGCTTGTACCAAGTTATTTTCAGTCATTGTACTGATCTACACAGAAATTTGTGTTTGATATATTCAAAGAAAATTTGGGGCTGAGCTTGCACTAAGTTATTTTCAGCCATTATACTGATTCTACACAGAAATTTGTGTTTGATATATGCACAGAAAATTTGGGGTTGAGCTTGTACTAAGTTATTTTCAGTCATTATACTGATTCTACACAGAAATTTGTGTTTGATATACGCTCAGAAAATTTGGGGTTGTGCTTAGTTAAAAAGTCAAGTCATTATACCATTTGTTAAAAAATTATTATCGATAAATGCACAACAAAAAATTTGGGTTGAGCTCGGCATGAAGTCCATTGTCCGACTTGCCAGTTGTGATCCAAATTTATAATGCATATAAATTAAAGTTGATGGCCAACGATTATTTTCTTATTTTTATTGGAATTAGGAACAAAGAAGTATTCATATTTAAATATTATCATTATGATTTTCTTAATTTTTTGTCCTACTATTTCTCTTTTTGGTTTATTTTTTTTTTAATTTTTAGGAAATTAACCATATATGTGAAAATGATGCAGGATGCCGAAAGTCATACAATTGTAAATTTCTTTAACCACCTTCAAAAAGATTCTTATAATAAGAAAAATTCAAACAATCCAACAATAAATACATAAACTAAATTAAAGATCCTTTTTTCCTTCTTCTATGTATTCAAATTTGTTAATGCCCATGAAAGGCAGTGAATGCTAAGCTTCCAACGCTGTTTTGAATGATTTGGGATCATCACTCACTTTTGACTTTAATTTTTTTTTAAATTAATTAATTAATTTTTTTAAGGTACAAATTATATTTAAATTAAAATAAATTGTGATTTGATAGGACAGTTTTCTAAAGGCAGATAAACCGTGCTCATCTGGATACCCAGATGTACAGATTAAAAAACCAATGATACTGATATTGTCATTTTTATTAATAACTGTAAACGCATCTTAATGTTTTTTTTAATTTTGTAGGCCGAGATATGGAGTGTGTTCATTGCTATTTTAAGAAAAAGCGTACGGAATTTACAAGCCTGTACTGAAGTTGGCCTCATTGGGCATGTTCTTCAACGTTTGACCCAAGCAGATCTAGTAGTTGCAGGTAAATTGGCTGATATATTTTTCACAACTTGTATTTAGTACTTGTGTATAAAATTTATGCTCTTATGTTACAGATCTTCTGATTGACATGCTCAGCGTGCTTGCTAGTTACAGTATTACCGTTAAAGAACTTAAACTACTATTTGGATCTATGAAAGCAACAAACGGAAAATGGGTATTTCTTTTTATAACATTAACATTAGTTTAAGGTTTTATTATGATCAATGTGTGATGACCAGTTAGAAATACATTTTTATTTTCAACTGATCTACATAAAATGAAACTTCAAATAGCCAAGCTCCCATTTATCCTTGCTTGAAATTTTTGGCTTGTAGTCACAAGGATAACGAAATGTAAGTTGGTATCAAAAGACCAGCGTAGAAGGCAAGAGACTATGAAACGTTGACAAAAGTGATGATCACCAAACCAAGAAGTGTATAAGTGGGTAGGGCAGAGTTACGAAGAGTTTACTACCTCAATTCTTTAATGGGGTTTGCTTTAAGCCCTACTTATACAGGTTGGTCAAAGTAACATGACTTGCCAATATGGTGATTCACTAAAGTGGGTATGCTTTGCTGATGTCAGTTATTCATTACGCCAGGATTTGAACCAAGAACTGCTAGTGTTGCTAGTAGAATCAGATGCCTTAACTGTTCAGCTACAGGAGTCCTCCTAAAGTAAATCCTACCGTACTGGAGGTCTTAATATCCAAAACCCATTGGTGTCATGTCAGAACCACTTTTCAGCACTGCTTTAACTAACTAATCTGTCTCAATTAAAGGCCATGGAATATGACAAGATTTGAGCCCAAAACCTACAGCCCTAATAACATAACAGTTGCCCTAACCAACTGGCAACACCAGACCCCATTAATTCATTTTATCATTAATTATAATTTATCATTTTATCAGGGGACCGCGGTAGCCGAGTGGTTAGCATGAGAAACTCTCGGTCGTGGGTTCAATTCCCACCGTCGCCTCTGGCCCTTTTTTCCCGATAACCCCCAATTTGAACAACATATATAAGAATTCGTCATGGCTAATATGCAAAGATCATAAGGCAAAAAAAAATCATTTATCATCATTAATTTTTTAATTTATTAATTTATCATTTTATCATCATTAATTTATTTTTATTATGCTATAAATAATAATATTTTTATTATATTTCAGCCAAGACATTCAACAAAGCTACTCAATGTAATAAGACAAATGCCGCAGAGAAACGGGCCAGATGTATTTTTCAGTTTTCCTGGAAAAAAGGGTTCTGTAAGTTAATCTGTCACGATTTTACGATATTATCCAATTTCGATTTTGTTTGAACAATAATCATTATTTAACTTTTACTGTGCAGGCAATAGTTTTACCACCATTAGCTAGATGGCCATACGAAAATGGTTTCACCTTTACCACTTGGTTTAGATTAGACCCTATAAATTCTGTTAACATTGAACGAGAGAAACCGTATCTATATTGGTAAGGATACATTTAATAATAAACAAAACTATACATTTTTAGGCTTTTTTTTAGGCTTTGGGAGCCATGTTTACTTAGTGTGTTGTTAATACGTTGTATTCAAAGGCGCTTTTAACTGGATTTTTATATATTAAAACAATATAACAAACAAAGCCTAAAACCACTGACAAATACATTTTTTAAGATATAATTTAAGTTGAAACATAAAAAAGATTCATTTATTTATGATTCATGTAACAATTTTTACCTGAGATTCATAACAGCGTTGCAGATTTTAAATAATGGCAATTTTAAAAATTATCAAAATGTACTCAGATAAGAGATGAATACTTAATTAGATATAAAATAACTTCTTATACATGTTCCTTACTATTCGTCTTATCTAAATTATCTATATTTCACTGCCTATTATTTAATTAATAAATTACAAAGGAATGATTTATTTGATAACGAGGTCATTTGTTGCAACTCCTCTAATTTTACTATTTTATTTTTAATTATTCCAGCTTTAAAACAAGCAAAGGTGTTGGCTATTCAGCACATTTTGTTGGAAATTGCCTTGTACTTACATCCATGAAGATAAAAGGGAAAGGTTTTCAGCATTGCGTTAAATATGAATTTCAACCGAGAAAGGTATGTATTGCCATTTCAGTACCGATCATTTTCTTTTTTTTCGTTTGTAATTTGGAATGTAGTACTGTTATTTTTAATAATAATAATTATACTACTTGCTACTAGCCTTGAAAACTCAGATTTAATTTTCTATCCTAATTTATGGAATTAAATCTATTGCTTAAAATTGTTAATTTAAGGTTACAAAGACATTTGCTAGAATTGAATTAAACATTTGGTGTTTATCAATATAGAATATTATTCTAAATAACTTTTTGTTAATTTTAGTGGTATATGATAGCTATTGTCTACATCTACAACCGTTGGACGAAGAGCGAAATCAAATGTCTTGTAAATGGACAGCTTGCATCAAATACTGAAATGGCCTGGTTTGTGTCAACTAATGAGGTAAGAAGACAATTTTTGCATTTTTAAATTAAATATCTTCCATAACCTTGTGAAACCATTCAACCATTATAATTCAACAAATGAAATCAAAGCATCTTGAAACCTTCATTTAGAAGTAGTTAGAAATTAAAAAGTATTAAGTATTTTCAATTATTGGTAGTTTACTTCGTAGTATACAGTTTATGTCACAACATTCGCCATACTGTAGAAAAATAATAACAATACACCCTTTCAGAAGGCACATTTAGATTTCAAAAGCATAAGTAAAAAATCATGGAGGTCCTATGTTAATTATTTTTTTATAGTGAAGAAAACTCACTCTTTGCACTCACTTGGAACTCTTCCCTTGGAAAAACATTGATTCATATAACCTTACCTGTCCATAGCCCTAGCTAACCCTAACCCTATCTAACCTAACCCAAATATCTTACCTCACCTAACCTAACCCATCCCTAACACTAGTCCTAACCCTATATATGTTTTTTGCCTTTTATTAGTTTTCTTTTTAAATGACAATCGTGTATCATAAAAATTTGTAAATCATTTCAATTAATTAAGTAATAACAAAATTGAAATTACGATTTAATTATTTGGTGGTTCCTTATGTTTTTAATTAATTCTGCTGATGTATTTGCAAAAAAAAAAACTTTTATTCTATGAATATGATGCACAATAGACCAATACTTAGATGGTGCACAGGTCGTAAAAAGGCTGGCTCCTATATAATCTAAATCTTTATTCTATGAATAGATGATAAAGAAATGGTAATACAATGAAAGTATAGTTTTTGAAAATGTTGTCTTCTAAGGGTGTATTGTTTTTCTGTTTGTTTATTAATTTAAATTAACTTTTTCTCTTTTTAGTACAGAAGATTAACAAATAAGTAAAACATATTTGGTACTTAGTAGTTGTTAGGTAATTAGTAAATACTATATTGTAGAAAAACATTGTTTACTGACTAATTAATTATTATGAGATTCTACTTTTCAATTTTAGACCCTGTTTTTTTTTTTAATTGTTATTGTTCTGGATGTTTCAATTACTGTAAATTGGGCTCTGTGGATAGGTTGTTATTTTTTTTTTTAAAGTTTTGTAGCATGAATGTTTTATTATTGTAGTGAGTTTTACACATAAGTGTTCTTGTTGTGATTTTCCTTGTATTCATTTTAATCCCATATCTGCATGTGTTCCCTGAAGAGTATGAATGATGTAGTGTGTACACTTTATTTTTTAATTTTTTTTAAAATTTTGAGTAGAGCTAACTTCTTGCATTATAAATTGTTGGAGATGTTAATAATGTTATGGGTTCGTATGTCATTAAAAAAAAGGGTAACTTTAATTTTACCAAAACAGAATTTATTTAAATAATATTGTATTAAAAAAAATTGAACCTTATTAATACATTTAGTCTTGATTGTGAGCCTAAGTTCTGACATTTAATTCTCTTGGCTGAGATTTACACGTTACAACTGTTCAATTTTTTTCTTTCTGAACCATGATAGTAATATAAAATCATTTAAAACTTTTTAGAGATAAAATTAAATAAGTAAATGTGCTATTCCTCTTCCTTTTTTTTTTTTTTTGTCAAAATCTATGTATCGAAAATTAGAAAGTAATTATTAGAAAAACTGTGAACATGTGCATTAACCATAAAACTTGTGGTTTCTGTAGGCTTTCAATAAATTTCTTTACTAAATCGGATATATTGAAATTTATACTAATCAATTGCAATATTTTTTAGTCAAATGAAACATTGAATTTTAAGACATCAGGAGTATCTACCATTAGAAAACAATGAAGGGAATTAATTGCATGTTGAGGAATTTATGTTGTATATTATAAATATATACACATAAACATGTGTGAGTGTCTGTATGATTGATTGCGTTAGGGATTGATCCTGCTCAATTTATTTCAAAATGCATTGTGTGTACATGTTCATACCAATTTGCCTTTGTACCTTTCCCATTTTTCTTATAATTTTCTTATTCAGCTTTTTTTTATACAGTATGTTTCTATGTAATGTTAAGTTTTGAATTTTGACTTTTTTGTCTTTATCGGTTTTTTTTTGTTTACTTCGAACTTTAACAAAAGGTTTATGATTTTTGAATAAAGGAAGTGTACATCACATCAAGTATAGCTAATGATAAAATTGAATTCTACTGTTATCGAGATAATTAAACAGATATGGTAAATTTTGAATTCAATTTTTCTTCTCCGGTAGGACTTTAAATTCAAAACCTTTTATTTTGTATCTAATAAATTGGATCAATACAGTATTTTAAATTATGCTTTCGAAATGAAATGTTCCTCAGTCAAATTGATCGGCATGTAGGGCAACATTTTTTGTAAACATTGACATACAAAAGAAAGGCAATCATTTCTTAGTTTTTCCCTGGACGAAAACCACTTGATTAGGGAGATAGAAAAATAAGTAGATATTCATAGTATTAGTAATTATTTGTGTATGCTTCATTAATAATAAATGTATAGATAAGATTATGAAGTAAGTGTTCTTTTTTGTTATTTCTCTTCTTACTTTCCACACTGATAATTGGTTACAATTCGATGGCATTTTTTTATATAGCTACGGGGCCATTGTTAGCATTAGAATGGTATTTGTTTTTTGGTTATCTGTACTACATGGATTATAGAAATTATTATTTCTTAGTAAACATTAGTGCATTTTATATGAAAAGTTATTTTAAATATAAATGTAATTCGATATGTTTTTATTCAACTTTGAAGAATTTTAAGCTCAGTTTTGTAAAGATTATTTAATTGGTTTTAATCAAGTTTGCATTACATAAAATTTATGATTTAAGAATAGCAGATAAGAATATGAATTTTATCAGTATAAAATAGCCGAGGTTTTGTTTGATCGCGGTAAATCTTTTTTTCTTTAGCCAATAATGACTGTGCTTCTAATAGAACTTCGTCATGTATATAAATCAAATAATTCATCAAACCGTGACCAAAGCCTTCAGTATGAGGATATGGGTTTTCAGTACGACTCTTTAACCAATCAAATCTTTTTTTCCATTTGCATCTATACTAGAATTAACATAAAAATGTAAATTTTTAAATATGACTAACAGTATTGTGTTTTGTAATATTCTATATATTTAGCAAACTAACTTATAATGTCTGTAAACTAAACCTTTTCTAAATTAACTTAAGAAAAAACTAACTGCATCTATTTTAGGTGCATGCTGCAGAGTTTTGTTTTAGAAGGTGATTGATAGTAGATTCCAACTCCCTTTTCAATCTGTTCATCAGTTTTTTTTATATCTGATTTTTATTACCATTTAAAAAATATAAACTGCATAAAATTTTAATTTTAATTAAATTTAAAATAAAGATTAACTTAACTTTGATCACACCATTCTTAAGTCTTAGTCATGTTTAATTTATTTTAATATTTGTTAAAAAAAAGTTTTTAAGTGCAAATTTGTCATGGAAATCGGGTCAAATTATATCGTAAATAATTCAAAATCAGTATACTAAATTCAAAGTGTATGTACAAAAAGTCGAAACTCATTGTGTGTAAGTATTTTTACAAATAAATACTTAAAATAAATTTATACTGCCAATATAGAAATTTTTCTATTGCGGGATTTATTGGGAAAATGTTAGTAATAGCATGAATTGAATTCGTTGCTTTTACTTATTATTAAATTATTTTCTGTTTCTTCTATAAATTTCAATTTTCCAGACCTCAAATGTTCCATTTTCTAAATTGCTATCCATTGGTCATTTAATTGTTCAAACATTAAATAAGATGCAATACTGCAAATTTTTTAAAAATAATAAATAATTGAAATATAAACACTTATACCTAGTGTTGTTGTGGTTAAATTATGAGCTGCTAGTTTGAGAAAAATAAGTCATTTATGAGAGCATTTCTATGTTTAGATAGCATATAATATACGAACAGTTTGAGAATTACCTGTGTACATCTTGTATATAAAAGAAATATGAAAGTGTTCTGTCAAATTGTACTAGACAGGATAGCTCTTGTGAGTAAATTTATTTTGATATATTCAAACTATTTTTCAACTACTATATTCATATCTACCCAACATCAGGTGCTACTAAATAATGTGAATACTAGACGGTATAATTTAAAATATGACAGTTATTTGAACCTTTGATTTAATCAATTTATTGGATTTTCACTTTTCAATTTATTTTGATTAGAGCTTTTCATTATGAATATTTATTTCCTCCAAATTGGTGGTTTTCATTTGGGGGAAAATGTTATTTTAGATGGCTGTACTACATTAAGGATTATTGCCTTTCTTTATTTAAATGATTTTCATGTTTACAAAAATTGTTTTGTTTCATGTCCTTCTCTAAGAAGACTATGACATATAAAATGGGAAGGAGAGCTGACAGGGTTTCGTCCTCATATGAAGACTTTAAGACACTAAAGTTTATTCTTTGTGAAATAAATATTTTAAAACATCAGTGAGATTTTTTTTTATTAGATGTATATCATACCCCACTTTCATTTGGACATCATCGTTCACCTCATTGACATTTTTATACAATGATAATTTCAAGTTTGATGCCTGAGAGTAAGATAATTTTGATCCCCCCCCAAACATGACAGTTACAGATAGACAATATGATCAGGAAGGTCAAGTAGTAACTGTGTGAAAATATTTATGGAAGAAAGAACGAGAAGGGCCATTCAGTAGATTTGTTTTAATGTTTTTTAAATTAAAATTTGTATTATAATTTAGGCTTTTTTATTTTATATGTAATAATAAAACCCATTGCTTTATACATAGTTTTATTTTAGGTTTTTAATTTACAGGAAAAAACATTTGTGAAATATTGAAATAAGGTTAAATAAAACATTGTTCACAATTTAGGGCGCTTGCTCAAATGATAGCAAACAACTTTTGCTTTGTCTGTTTAAGTAGTATAGTTTTAAAAAAGACATTGCTGTTATATTTTTATTTTATTTTAAATACACTGTAAACCTTCAATTTTAATTAAAATGCCTTCAAAATTATGATTTATTGGCCACATGATTGTTTCTTCATGGGCTGTGTTGGATTACATTTTTATTTATTTGTTGACATATTGATGAGTTAGCCAACGAAGGAGAAAAAAATCAGTTTTTTAAAATTATTTATTTAATTTAATTTTATTTTGATCAATAAAACACCCATTATTTGTGGTAGGAGGGGATTCATGGAAAAATTTAAAACCCCAGATAATGGAATTAATTTTTTTAAATGCATTAATTAAAAGATGAATCAAGAAGACACAATACATACATTACTTTTATCCATTTTATTAATACGTATCTAATGTAAAAATATTAATTTTTTTGAATCATAAAAAATTTCCAAAAGGCCAAATCACAAAAAGGTGTGCTCAGCAACATTGACAAAGCGATATTGACGGCCTGTAACACCGATTTAATTCCAAAACTACTCCCAACACCCTACAACAAACTTCAAAAGCGGGGTAGAAGAGGTTTGTCATCCTGGAATGATATTCATAAATAAGGAAGAGTTTAGTGCATTATTCCAGATAAATTGTCATAATGAATGTATCCAATGTAAACAAACAGTAGGAGTTTGATAGGAACAAGATAAAACATGGTTCTTCAAATCAGAAGTGATTTGTTGCAAAATATATACCTATATACATAGCATACGGCCCAGAAATTGGATTTCCGGATAATGGAGGTATTAATGTGAGTGTGTGTGTCCAACAGGTAGTTAGGCGTTAAGTCCCACTGTACAATAGAAAAACTGGGTCGATTTCATATTTGTCAATTTAGAAGTTCTGGATACAGACGCTGGCACAGCCCATGGTTTTTTAAAATAAAAATTGAAAGATGTATTGTAAAGTAGTTTGATCCATTGTCTGCAACACCCAACGGGTAGTTGGACTTTAAGTCCTCCTGTATGACAGGAAATCTTGGTCAAGACTTATTTGCCATCCTAGCTATCATGGGTTCGAACCCTGGCACAGCCCATGGTTTTTTAAAATAAAAACTGTTTGAAAGATGTATTGTACAGTAGTTTGATCCATTGTCTGCAACACCCGATGGGTGGTTGGACTTTAAATCCTCCTGTATGACAGGAAATCTTGGTCTAGACTTATTTGCCACCCTAGCAGTCATGGGTTCGAACCCTGGCACAGCCCATGGTTTTTTAAAATAAAAATTGTTTGAAAGAATTATTGTAAAGCGGTTTGACCCCTCGTAAGTGACACCCAACTTTTATTTGGACATTAAGCCCTCCTATACAACAGGATTCTTCTTTGCTTTTACTTATAAAACAGTATTTTGTTATGTATCAGCTTTCTTGGTGAGCCATCTTCAATGGATATATTTTGTTCTAACATAAGTCTGTTTTTTGATGGTAAATTCCATGAAAATTTTAGGTACTTGTAAGCAAATTTAATAAAAAATATATTAACTATTTTGTTCCACTATTTTTTGCCATCTTCCATGTAATTTTGTATCTTCTTCCTCCCAGTGCTCAGTTTTTTTGAACTTGAACTCTTCGATGTAATTTCTGCAGTCCTTGAGTGAAGTGAACTTTTTACTTTGTTGGCAGAGGTTGGAATAATTGAAAATTTTGAAGGGATACATCCCACCCAAGCTCTAACAATATCTGGCTTGTCCAGGGTTGAGCACTATCCTTATGGAAATCCCTTGCTTGCAATTATCCATTGCCGGTATTTTTGGCCAATGGCGGCTTACTTTAATTGCTTAACTTTAATCAAATTAACGGTTTGTTGGATGGAAAAAGTTTATAATAAAGCATTCAGATCACACCAGATGCACAACTTGAGATGGTATCTGCCTTTTGGAGTTAATGGCATTTCGGTGCATTTTCCCCAGGAGATTCCTCTCTGAACATTATTGTTAAGGACTTTTCATCCCCAGGATTCCCATAATCCTTCGGGTCTGTGCTTTTCCTCTCCCAGGAGTAGGAACATAGCATACATAAATAAACCTTCGCACAAACAAAGGATGTGTTCCACTGTCTCTTCTTTTTCTTCCTGGCAATATCTGTTTCAACCACTCACAGTCTACACATTTGCCTCTGCAGTAGTCTTATTATTCTAGTAATAACACGTCCTAGATTTAGATGTTCTGTTGTTAGTAGTTTCCTTTGATGAGGACTTATTTTTAATCCATTGTCTGATAGATAAATGTTTTTATTTTATTCACCAATTTTGTGGTCCACTTGACCAATTAATATATTACAATTAATTAAGGTTTTTAGTTGAGATAAAAAAAGTCAATGGCACGAGCGGGATTCGAATTACACGACATTTGAAAAATGGCAAAAACGAGGGAAAATTCAAAAGGTGTGGTTGAGATGGGAAGTTGGTGTTCAAGTGGATCGCGGTCACAATAGCTCAAGTGGTAGAGCAGCGGCGTATCTAGCTGAAGATCGTGGGTTCGAATCCCGCTCGTGCCATTGACTTTTTTTATCTCAACTAAAAACCTTAGTTTTTATTTTATTTATTTTTAGTCCAAACAGGTCAGGTATCTAAGCATAGGACAGTCAAGTTCAGTTTGGTATGCCAAAAAAGGTTTCAAGTATCCTCATCAAACTTTCCTTGGCCAATTTTGATAAATTCTCCAAATCAGCCTCTTTGATGCTCTTCTGCCCTGTCTACTCTGGTACTAAGACAATTGTTGTTTTCTCCAATGTCTGATAGAGCCCTAATGCAATCCCAAATGACCATGAACTGTACTACCGATAAGGTAATTGCCCTCAGTGCCACCCGTTGTTCGAGTGGATGACTATTCTTCTGTTCACCCTTAGATGTGTAAAATATGTTAAGTTGTCACATTGAGTGTGAGTTATTTGTCGCAAAAGCTTGAATTTGGCCTTCAATGGTTGAATGATCAGAAAGCTTTGTGTCTTTCAAATCAAAATTTCCGCATCTGAATCGAGCAGACCACTTATGGACAGTGCTTTCTCCTAACATGTTATCACAATTTTCCTAGTAGCATGAGCTGCAGTTTTCCCTTTGTGGCAATAAAAAAACTATTAAACGACAACAACCATTTTCCTCCATTTTCAATTAACAAGCCTTGTAAAAAAGATATAAGACCTTGAAAGAAATTGATGAACTTACAAATTTCCTTATTCCTCTCATCACACGCTAAAAGGGTGCGCACAGTAATATATATCTAATTTATGTAAAAAACCGATTTCTTCTTCTTTGGTTGACTCCCCAACAAATAAAGATCAAAAATTATAATGATTCAAGTTTATAAAAGTGTAAGAAATAAACTAAACATATTATCCTTTTTAAAAATTAAATTATTATTTTCATTGATGAAAACAAACGTAACTGAAAAACTTAGAAAAAGTTCTGACTTATGACCAAATAAAATGACACACCAGACTTACTAACCACTGAAGATGGCAAAGTGCTGAAACATGTATGACAAGGAAAAACTGGTGAGAATAGGCCATGTCACTCTACCATTATTAGTAAGTAATATAGTCTTATGACTTCCTTAAGAAACAATTTACCAATCTCACATTAATAGAGAAATAAGGATTAATATTTATACTAAAAAATAATGAGATGTTAAATTCTTTATTTTTATTTTTTTTAAATTTAGATAGTTGGTAGAAAAAAGAAGAAAACAAAGCTTGGCGGTTGCATAATTTTTTTATTACTTTGTGGCCTATTTATGCAGGCTTATTTACATCCATCTAGATATGCTCTTAGTTGCAGTGTATTTAAAACTGTCCATTGTGTAGAGATTAGGATTGAAAGAATAACTCATTGGGGCTGCTGAGGATGAGACAGTGAGCCTGAAATATATAGAATAAAGAACACTTTTTATGCCACAGAAAAGTTTGTTTTTTATTTTCTCCAGCAACCATTTAAAATGTTTAAGAATTTTGAAAATAAAATTAAAATATATAACTTAAATATAAGTGTAAATTTTAAAACATAGTTTATTAAATTATAGATGTTCAGTGTTTATGCATAGACACTTACTGACCTTCTGAGCCAAAGACCACGTATGTGTCCTGCATGTAGAGTAAGGTTGCTTAATGCGTCCCACCTAATTCACTTCAATTGGTATCCTTGGCTCCATATAGAGTGTTTAGGAATGCCACCCAATAGTGAATCTTTAGGTCCTTTGTTCAGATTTTTAGAGGAAACAGGGCTGTTTTATCGTATATAGTATGTATAGTATGTATGTGTGACAAGGGAAAACTGGTGAGAATAGGCCATATCACTCTAACATTGAGTGAGAGTGTCCTTCGTTGCTGTGTATAGAGAGCTTGTAGGAATGCCCTCTGATAAGAGAAGGTAAATTGAGGGGGGAATTATTACTTTGAAAGTTTTAGGGGACTAGTGGATATGATAGCTGATGTATAACATTATCTGAGAATTAACTAATCACACTTTAATATGAAAATGAATATTCACTTTTAAACTTCATGACCTTCGGAAGATCTGAATCGCAGAAGAGGTTTTATCCTTATCCAATTAAGAATTGGCCATGCGAGGTTGTCACATGGGCACTTACTTCTAGGTCAAAGACCGTCTATGTGTACTGCACACAGAGAAAGATTGCTCAACATGTCTTACTTAATTGCAGTGTCCTTTGTTACTGTGTATAGAGAGCTTGTAGAAATGCCCCCTGATAAGAGAATGCTTGAGCACAGTAACGAATTACAAAGGTCTCCTGTTTTGGAATGGCTATTTGCATTGAATATACGTGTAGATAACCTTGTTTTGTGTTATTTTAAATTTTCCTAGGGAAAGGAAAATGTTTTATTCAAGGCTAAAAACACACTCACTTACACCCTCAGTTTAATATTTGAAAGTAATACAAAATTATTTCTAGCTGGAACATTTTTTAATGATCTTATGTTAACCGAAGTACGGTTAGTGTTACAAAGGCATTTTTTGAAATTCCACTCGGCCATAACGGCACCAATTGCAAGTTTTGATTAATTGTAATTTTACTTAATTCCTAACGTTTAATATTTGGTTTTCTGTTTTAATCGGGAATGGTATAAGTATATTTTATCTCACTGTCTTAAATATTGGATGTTAGACATTTAACTCTTACACACATGATTAAAATATACTACTTAATTAAAATACACATCCATAATATTTAGAAGATTATCTAACCTAAGTTGGCGGGGTCTGAAGAGTTCTCGATATACTGCTGAGACTCCACCCCCTATAACTACACTAAATTATTCACAGCCTAAACCAGATTTTCATCTTTCTTCATGCTAATGAATACATTCACATACAGTAAAACATTCACTATCATAATTTAACCTAATTGGTTTGATAGGTCTGTGGGTACTCAATATTCCACACAGACCATGTCAATACACACTTGACCACTCACGCAAATTAATAAATTCATACAATTGCGTAATCATCAAAGTTTTTCATATTACACCAGTGACAACCCCCCTATCCCAAGGCAAATAGATATAAAACTAAATAACCTAGACTAATGTGTGTGTTTGTGGGTACTCGATATTCCATCATCACAAACACACCCAAGCACAAATAACATTCTCATTAATAAGTATTTGCTCATTAATGCAAACTATGTATGAAAGGGCTCCCCTTCAGCTATCAAATCTACTTCTTATTATAACCAGTATTGTGCTTAAAAGTTGTTTAAAATCTGCAGGGAGTCTACACCTTATTATTTGCCATGCTAATTTCTTGCACTCTGTTAATATGTGCTTTACAGCTATTTGTGCATAGCATAATATATTGCAGTCGTATTCTCTGTTAGATAGTTAATGTTTCATGGACTGAAATATGTTTTACATTCCATGAGGATTGTTTCTAATGTCGATTGAATGGTGTAAAATTAAAGGCTTGAAAAATATCTTGGATAAAAATGCAACAAATTAAGTTTTATCTGGCAATAAAATGGATTAAAATAAGCTTTGATGTCTTAATAAACAGACAAATTCATTAGAAGTTTATGTATATACTTCAACTGTAAAATTATACTGTGTAATGGTAAAATAACAATTTTTTTATCTTTCTTTGTGTCATGATGATATTGTCAATGAGATCACTTCTTTAGATTGACTTCAGTTTATTATGATCTCAGTGGTCACAAACTTTTTTATTATATATAAATTTTGTGTTACACCGATTTACTGATTTCAAAGACCAATAATTTCATATTCTGTAATAATATTAAATTTATATTATTAAGTATTTGAATTTTTGATTTCAGCCGTTTGACAAATGCTACATTGGAGCAACTCCCGAATTAGACGAAGAGCGCATATTCTGTGGACAGATGTCTACAGTGTACCTTTTTAGTGAAGCATTGACAACTCATCAAATATGTGCAATGCATCGCTTAGGTCCAGGTTACAAGGTAAAAAAATTGCACTTGCATATTTTCCTTGTTTTACAAAAGAACATTGAATTATGGATATCTAGCCTAACCCTACCTACTTGTCAATACTCCATCCACTTAACCTATCTGTCCCTAACCTTAACCCATGTCCACTGTATGGACCTAATTTGTTCTAATTCTACCTAACCTAACCTGTCCTTAACCCTAACCCTACATAACTTGGCCATGCCTAATCTACATAGTTTATATAGTATACACTATAAATTACAATGAAGAAATGATTAATAAAGCTATAATGACATGATTTTATTTAAAATTTACTTTTTGTATTATTATAATTATTTGTATAAGTTATATAGTTTGTATAAGAAAATTTTTTATTTACAGAGTCAGTTTCGATTTGACAATGAGTGTCATTTAAGCCTACCAGAAAATCACAAGAGGGTGAGTGACGGAAACAAGGATTCCACAGATCAACATTGCACGACACCTGTGAATGCTGTAAGCCGACATATCACTCAGCTGCCAGTTTCTGTTTTGTCCCATTTTAATAACGGCGTAATTTAATACAAATACAAATATATCATTTTTAACATATTTAAACTACAAATGCAAATTTGGTTTGCTGTTCCAGTACATATTTTAATGAACTAATAAAATACGTATTTGTAATGTTATTACTATATCGTTAGTAATAATTAGTAAAATATTCATGTCATGTTTCAGAGCGAGAGTTTATGGATGATCTAAGTACCCAAATTCGAATAGTACGGTGAAATTTTGTGCACTTTTTTAAAATTCTATTGAGGGCAAATGTGCTTAAAGAAACTTTATTTAAAATTAAATTTCAACTTAGAATTTTCAGAGATGGCCATTTAATTAAAAATTATTTAAAATGTAGCAATATTATTTTTATGAAATTTGATTGAGATTGTAATTGAGAGCATAATTTTTCAATTACTTTTATTAATTTAAAATTAGGAACAGATCATTTTTGTGATTTTTTTTTTAGTTTACAGTTTTTCACATTTTGTTGCTTATTATTTCACACACTTTTTGAGTGTTTTTTGTAATATTTGCTACTTTTTTTGGTCATATTTTCACTGTATTTGTATGTTAATGATTCGAGCATATTTGGGAAACGAAGAGTTCAAATATGTTTAAAACTAAAGTTGGTTTTTAAAATAATTTTTTCAGATTTGCAAAAATTTCACAGCCTGCATTTAATCGCTTTTTTTTAAATTACGAATATTTGCAAGTTTATAATATTTTGCCAGATTTTTCTCAATATATGCACTGTGATAAACATCGAACAAATTTCACGGCTAAAGTAATTTTAAGATCTTAATAAAATTTGAACATCATCCAATGTTGATAGGGTCTGTTCCAATAAGATAAATTTATAAATGGAAAGATCTATTTTTTGATGGATTATTTCCATCGACACTAATTATAAACATTCTGGTGATAAATTATGAAAAATGACAAACAAATAAAAATTCAAAACTCGCCATAAACTCATGATTATACAGTTAGATTTATTATTCAACATATGCAAAAATAAAGACTTCAAAACTTGTCCAAGTTAGTTTTGTCTTAAAAGAGGAGCAGCTTGGTGATATGGTAATTAGCACATTTTTATTGATATCTGATTTATTTTATCATCTTTTTTTTGTATTTTTGGCTTTTTTTGTCTCATAGTTTTCTATCCTAGATTACGTTGAAATATTGTTATTAGCGAGTTCTTACTTTTGGTACATTTTGACATGAAATATTCAGTTTAATTGTTTCAAGTAGTTAAAACGTAGAAGTATTAATGGTTTTTGTATTATGATGCATACTTTTGCTAAATTAGAATGCCTAAGTACTTAAAAATGTTGCATGTTAATCATGATAAAACTGAGCTGTGAGATTCACCTTTTCTTATGTCCATCTTGTCCTCCAGCGTTATTGATGTATCCTCCAGTGAATCCCCTCTTAATGGACAATCCTCTGTAGAGGGCATCTCTCTTAACATGTTTGCATAGCCTGGGAAAAAAAAGGTTTCTACGTATCTTAAACGTCTTTATAACAGAGCCCATCAAATCAATAATGGTCACAGCCTGTCAGTCCACAACAGAGCAAATTAATTCCTGTCATAACGAGGCCTTAATGTCCATCCGATGGGGTTGTGGATGAGGGATCAAAATACTTTACAATTCTTCTTTCATACTATTATCATTTAAAGAAACCATGGGCTGTCCTGGACCCACGACTGCTAGCGTGGCAAAAACGAATCAAATGACCTAACCACTCAGTCATCACAGTCCCACATCAGAGTAATTGTAAACTGTAATTATAAAATTGTGTGCACGGAAGTTGCCTTTCTTCTTACATATACTCTTCTATTTTTGGAGCTTTAAACATATTTTGATAATCCATTTTTGGAAACTTGTACTTTTTCTTCATAAGGTCCTGTTCCTCCTTCAAACGATTTTCTTTTGCAGAGGAGTTTTTCAAGTGTCTGACGTTCTGTTTTGCGGAGGAACTAAAAATTCTTGCATCTCTGTACAACATGATAGACTCTGATTAGAATTCCCAAGAATTTATATGGACTGGAATTGGAATCTTTACTCTCTCTGAACACCTCTCAGTATTGGACAAAAACACTTCCTTGTCCTTTTTAGAGGGGCTTCACTGTATATGTATATCACATTCTGTCATCTATTTTTAAATACTGTCTTATGAGATTGAGATTTGGTCTTCTTTCATGACGCTCAGCCTAAAGTGTTTTACAAATTCTAAGAGTATTAATATCCCATTATTGATTCTTAATTCATGCTAATTAACTCTCAAAAGATTTAAATCCACTAATTTCGTGGTCCGCTTGACCAATTAATATATTACAATTAATTAAGGTTTTTAGTTGAGATAAAAAAGTCAATGGCACGAGTGGGATTCGAACCGATGCGGTTGAGATGGTAAGTTGGTGTCCGAGTGGATCGAGGTCACGATAGCTCAAGTGGTAGAGAGCGGCGTATCAAGCCGAAGATCGTGGGTTCGAATCCCGTTCGTGCCATTGGCCTTTTTATCTCATCTAAAAAACCTTAATTAATCTCAAAAGATTATTAAAACAGCTAAGCACCGAGATACAATCAGTTGCGTCTTTTTTATTCAAAATTTAAAACAGGGAGCATAACTCTTTTGAAAATTTATGCTGTAATCAAGTATAATTACCACTTATGTTTACTTGCTTCCAATATGCGGAACTTGTTAAGCAAGACCTTTCTGTACGTGCAGAGCATGATATAATACCAAACTTAAAAAGTAGGTGCCATAAACAGAATGATCTATGAATCTTTAAAAAAAAAAAAGGAAAGATGACAGTGTGTGTTTTACTCTCTGCTTAATTGAATTATGAGTGCTTCAGATTTAGGTATAGATATAGTTTTAAAGCTATTAATCTAAACGTGCTTTATTAGAATCTTAAAGCAAAACATTTAAAAATATCTATTAAGCACATGAAATAAATTGTAAATTTAAAAATAGAAAGTATCATATGTATTGTATAATCACAAACTTGTATGCAATTATGCTCTCCTCTATTTACTTAGCTAGCCATGGGCTGTGCTCGGATTTGAACCCAGAACCTCTAACTTGGCAAATAAGGGGTCGATTGAGTTTTCCTGTCATACAGGAGGTTTTATTAACGTCCATATAGCCATTGGGTGTTGTGGATATGGGGTCAAACCACTTTACGATACATTTTTCATATAATAATTGATTAAAAAACCTTGGGCTTTGCCAGGATTTGAACCCAGAACCACTCGTGTGACAAATACTTGTCAAACACCTTTACTACTTGGCCACCGCGGTCCCCTCAAGTGACCTTAAACCAATATTTGAGTTAATTTATTTTCCAAAACTATTTAAACAGAACAGATTAGCTGGTTAATTTTAAAAGTTTATTAGTATATTTTTTTTTAGTGAATAGTCATATTTGTGTTTACATAGGTAATTTAAAAAAAAAAAAAAAAAACATTTTTTTACACACCTTATTTAATCTGCATTTTATCTTTGTGTGAGCATGTACATGCATGATTATGTGTGTAAGGAGTTTATGTCTGAAAATTTAGTTATTAATAAATTATACAGACAATAACCCGAACTATTAATTAAGTATTTCATTTCCTTGTAGATGATACTTTATAATGTGTTTTATTTTATTAGTGGTTATTAATTTATTAATAGTTTTGTTAACAAAACTTTTTAAAATCCATGACCCATTTTCATGATGAGATTATTTACTCTATTAGTACATGTGCTATTAATCTGTAAAGTCGTTATTAGGTAAGATTTCAATTAGCTTTTGATGTTATAAAAAACAAAAACTTTGTTCAGTCCTTTGTTAAGTTTTAACTGTACAATTATATGTGTATTTTCCTGAAAATGGCTGTCATTGGATTGAATTTTCTCACAGTGTCAATATTTTGTAAAATTTGATCAACTGCCTTGTTATATGAAACAATACATATATATTATGTTTCATGTGAAAAAATTGTGCATTTTCAGGTTTTATACGATGGTAAATTATCAAGTGCGATTGTCTTTATGTACAATCCTGTTGCTACGGACAGTCAACTCTGCTTGCAATCAGCACCCAAAGGGAACACATCATATTTTGTGCATACCCCACACGCTTTGATGTTGCAGGTAGTGTGCTTATTTTGATTAATTTCTTTCATAATATAATATTTTTATTAAAAAATTTAGGATGTCAAAGCTGTGATCACACACTCAATTCACAGCACATTAAATTCAGTTGGGGGTATTCAAGTGTTATTTCCCCTTTTTTCCCAACTTGACATGCCCTATGATTCAATCGAGAGCAGGCGTGATCCAACATTATGGTGAGCTTATGATTTAAATTAGTAATGTTTAAACTTTATTGAAATTTCTCCATTTTGTTTGTTGAATTTTTTTAGTTCCAAGTTACTAGGATTTATTTGCGAACTTGTCGAAAGTTCTCCAACTGTGCAACAACATATGATCCAAAATCGTGGCTTTCTCGTGATCAGTTATATGCTCCAGCGTTCGTCTAGAGAGCATCTTACGCTGGAAGTCCTGAGCTCTTTCCTTGGCTTGACAAAACACTTGGTTACCTGCTTAAGTTCAAACAGTGAACTTTTACTGAAGCAGGTATGTTTATACACAATGCTATGTTCCATGTGAGTCCATAAAAAAGTAGATTTTATGTGTAACTTTGCATGGATCTTCCCAATATCTAGTCTCATTGCGCAATTTACCTTGGGAAAAAAATGTGGTAAATGGTAAATGAAAAATTACATAGAATTAATTTCCAAGTGTAGGTGGTATAAAACTGTAAAAAGATTACTTTTTTGTCAATATTACTAATTATGATTAAATAATGTGTTTATTTTTTAAAATAATGCATGTACATGTTTCTAGCAATCAGCATGAAACCAGTGACAATTATCTACTTTTTCATGCCATTAAATCATTTCCTTTGCGATGAAAGCTAAAATATTATGTTTTTAAAAAGTAAATCAATTATATTTTCAAATTAGTATGTTATTTTTATTACTCCAGCGATAAACATTTTTTGTTATACTAAAGTTGTTTTACTCTTTGTACATGAGATAAATTTGTTGTTGTAAATTTCTTATAACATTTTATGTTAGTTTTAAAATATGCTTTCTATAATTAAATATTCATTTCAGCTTCTTGATCATGTACTGTTTAACCCTGCTTTGTGGATTTACACGCCGGCAGCTGTACATACTAGATTGTATTCGTACCTTGCTACAGAATTTTTAGCTGACACGCAAATATATTCTAACGTTCGCCGTGTCTCGACTGTCTTACAGACAATCCATACCTTGAAGTATTATTATTGGGTCGTAAACCCAAGGACAAAAAGTGGAATAACTCCTAAAGGAATCGGTAAGAGAACAACTTTTAAGAATGTCTGTAGTGAACTCGCTCTTCGCACTCGCATTTTACCTCCGTTTCACGGGAAACATTGAATCATGGATATGTGACCTAACCCTAACCATTCTGGAATTGTTATTTTTCCGTATATTTACCTCGATTGTCACAATATTCAATCTAATCCATTTTTCACTGCGCCCACAGGTTTACTGAATATATTTTAAACAAACAAGATAAAGTTTTAATAAAAACAAAAATGAAAAAATACTGAATTATGGATATAAAACTAAACTTACCTTACCTAATCTAGCATGTCCCTAACCCTGCCTTACCTAACCTATCCCTACCCTACCTAAACTAATTATTCTAACCCTATGTAACCAAATCATTACGGTTTTGTTATTTTTTCAAGTATTTTACTGATTTTCACAATTTTTGTCTAACCCACTTTTAACTGCATCCACACTTTTATTGATCATATTCTAAACCAAACAAGATAAGGTTTTATTTAAAAAACACCTTGAATGATGGATATTAAACCTAACCCTACTTTACAGAACCTAAGACGTTCCTAATCCTACTTTACCTAAGCTAGCCTTTCCTTATCTTAACCCTAACCTTATGTAACCAAATCATTCCCGTTTTGTTCTTTTTCCATGCATTTAACTCAATTTTTACAATATTTCATTAAACCCATTTTTTACTGTATCCACACTTTTACTGATCACATTTATCAAAAAATAAAAATAATTAAATGATAAAAATAATTAAATGTAAACTAACCCTACTTCACCTAACCCTACCCTACCTAAACTAATCATTCCTAACCCTAAACCTATGTAATCAAATTATTCCAGTTTTGTTATTTTCCCATGTCATTAACTCAATTTTCACAATTTTTAATCTTACCAATTTTTCACTGCAATTGCACATTTATTGATCATGCTCTAATGTAACAAAATAAAGTTTTATTAAAAATTCAAAAACCTTGAACAATGGATATGCAACCTAATCTTACCTAACCTAACTCCTACCTACCTACACTATCTAAACTAACCTTTCCTAAGCCTAATGCTAACCTTACCTAACTATTGGGTTGTCCGGAAAATAATGCAGGATTTTGGTATTAAACAAAAAAAAAGAAACTAGTTACTTTAAAGCAATGTTCTTTAATCAAAATAATTTCCCATACTCTCAATACATTTCTCCCAACGTGTTGGTAACTTATTAATTCCGTCTGAGTAGAATTCAGAATTTTTAGAATTGATAAAGTCAATAAATGCATTTTCCAGTTCCGTTTGATTTTTGAATATTATGTGTTGTAAGTAGTGGTCCAGGTGTCTAAAAAAATGGTAGTCAGTAGGCGAGAGGTCCGGAGAGTAGGGTGGGTGAGGCAAAGTTTCATAGCCAAGCTCCAATAATTTTTGTGACGTTACACGTGACACATGTGGTCGAGCGTTGTCATGCAACAAAATGGGCCCTTTCCGATTGACCAAAGAGGGCTTCATTACTGCCAATTTCTGATGCATGGTATTAATTTGGTTACAGTATGATTCAGCATTGATGGTTTCGCCAGGATTTAAGAAGCTGTAGTGTATTAAACCAAATGAAGCCCACCATACCGTAACCATTACCTTTTTTTGATGAGTTGGGGGCTTTGGAGCTTCTCCTTTGTCGAGCCACTGTCCAGAACGTCTAGTGTTATCGTAGAGAATCCACTTTTCGTCACATGTAACAATTCTGGCCAGAAATGGGTCATTTTTGTTTCGACAAAGAAGTGATGCACAAACATCAAAGCGCTGATTTTTTTGGCGATCGTTTAATGAGTGTGGAACCCAATTTTCGAGTTTTTTCACTTTTCCAATCGCCTTGAGGTGGTCAGCGACGGTCGTTTTACTGACTTTGAGTTGCTCTGCAAGTTCTCGAACAGTTGTTTTGGGGTTTTCTTCCACCACTGATCGCAGAACATCATCATTAAGAGAGGAAGGCCTTCCACGACCTTCTTCATCTTCAAGGCTGAAATCTCCCTCCCGAAATTTTTTAAACCACCTTTGCACAGTGCACTCATTAACACAACCCTCGCCCCAGACTTGGTTAATGTTTCTAGCCGTTTGGGCTCCGCTTCGGCCGAGTTTAAACTCGTAAAAGAAAATCGTACGAAATTCTCGCTTTGACATTATAAGGATGACTGAATTATTTCCAAGTAGCGGAATGCTACAGAGGTAAACAAACAATATCATTTGGAAGAGGATTAATAAGTGTTGACATTCATACAAATGAGTAATCCTGTAAACGTAAACAGAATATTTTATATAGATTTTTTTTAATGAAAACTTAAAATCCTGCATTATTTTCCGGACAACCCGATAAATCATTATGATTTTGTTATTTTTCTTGCACTTAACTCATTTTATATAATTTTTGATCTAACCCACTTTTCATTGCACCTACAGATTTATTGAACATGTTGTAAAAGTAACAAAGTTTTATTAAAACCACTTAATTATGGTTATGTAAACTAACCCTTCCTCACCTAACCTAACACATTCCTAACCCTCTCCTAATCCTACCTAACCATTCCTACCTTAATCTAACTCATTCCATCCTAGCCTAGTCCAACTCGTGTACATTTCCCAGTAACGTGAAACTGATGACCCAAAAATGGCCATGTAAAAACATGTATATCCAGCTCATAAACATAACCATAATAAAAATATATTCTTACCGAGAGTTTCAACTCAATTGAAAACAATCCAGAGCAATTTTAAAAACCCTTTTTCTTCAAAAATTAAGCCTCCAAAATCTTTCAACTCACTTTTTATCCCAATTATTTTTTTTACAACCACTTCTGACTGGACCCATCACCAGAAAAAATTAATAGGAATAATATCAATGTGAAATTTCTAAAGGTGATGAACCTCTCTTATTTGGTCTTTACCGATTTTCTTGGTTTGCCTATCTTCATTGTTGAGATCCTGATAACTAAATTGCAGAATATCAATTGTTATGAATATTGTCTTGTAAATAATGCTATGTAAATTTATTAAATTAAATATTGTACAGTAAGTAGAAGAGAAATAAAAGTTCAAAACCAATTTTGATGTATATATTATATTCTACATACGTGTAAGAAAACACTTAAATTTGATTGTGTGTATTACAAAATCCAACAAAATTGGCTTTCTGTCAAAGTTTATTCACTTGTATATATAATTTTAACTCATATTCTCAATCAAAACTTGCCAACTGAGCAATGAGTATTATTCAAAAATTATTTTGTTTATAGAATTTTTAAGTATCTAAAACCGTGCTGCTTTGCATGCTAAACAATTCCGAAAGTAAAGTCTAAATAAAATAATTTGAAATCATAAAAAAATAAAAAGGTGGAAAAATGTAATTTAGATTTTTTAATTTAAGAGAGTTTATTTGCTTCTAGATGGACCACGGCCAGCTCAAAAAGATATTTTGGGCGTTCGTGCGTTTATATTGATTTTATTGAAACAATTGATGATGGGTGGGTCGGGAGTTCGAGAAGATGAACTTCAAAGTGTTCTCAATTACGTATCTACCGTTCAAGAGGATGAAAATTTGCATGATGTCGTTCAGACACTCATTTCTCTGCTATCTGAGCATCCGGCTGCCATGGTGCCCGCTTTTGACGCCAAACACGGCGTTAGATGCGTCTTCAAACTTCTCTCATCACAAAGTCACCTCATTAGGCTGCAGGCCTTAAAACTGCTTGGCTTTTTCCTAAGCAGATCTACACACAAGTAAGCATTTCTTTAAGTTATCTAACAAATAGATTCTTTCACTAGTAATATTCAATATTATAGGAGAAAGTATGATGTAATGAGCCCTCATAATTTGTACACATTACTTGCGGAAAGAATATTATTAAATGAAGAAACATTGACGTTGCCCACATACAACGTTCTTTATGAGGTATTGGATGCTAAAATTAATAACTTATCAAGTGATAAAATACATGTATAACATAGAAAACATCTTTTAAATTTGTTTTTGCATTGTAGATAATGACAGAACATATAAGCCAACAAATTTTGTACACACGGCATCCTGAACCAGAATCACATTTCAGATTAGAAAATCCAAGTAAGCTTTTGAACATGTGGAAGTAGTTTTCAACAAGCTCAACTAACTTCCTAATTTTTCAGTGATTTTAAAAGTCGTCGCAACACTTATAAGACAGTCAAAACAAACAGAGCAACTTTTAGAAGTCAAAAAACTGTTCCTGTCTGATATGACACTTTTGTGCAACAATAATCGGGAGAATCGAAGAACGGTTCTTCAAATGTCTGTTTGGCAGGTATTAAGATTGTTTACTTTTTAATCTCTAGGTTTTAAATATTTTGCATTATTTCAGGAATGGTTGATAGCGATGGCCTACATTCATCCTAAAAATGCAGAAGAACAAAAAACATCGGATATGGTATATTCGCTTTTTCGCATGTTACTGCATCATGCCATTAAACATGAATATGGAGGCTGGAGAGTGTGGGTTGATACTTTAGCCATAGTCCATTCAAAGGTACCATTTTTTTAAATACTCAAAGACAAAAACCAGACTCTTGTATTTATATGTTTATTTTCCATAATATCACTTATCTACTAATTTTTTTTTAAACCACGGTTTTAAGTCAAGAAGATCTTGCCCGGGCATAGCGTTCCTGGGTGTTTCATGCTCAATCATCCACAGTCTACAGCATTTAGGTCCACCGGAAGTCTCAATTGAACATAGTGGTCGACTGTGATATATGATGGCTAGAGATGATAGTTTATTGCTTTTACTGCTCTACAGAACCATCAATTAACAGGTCCCTTGATAGGTAGTCAACTCCAAATGGTCTGTAATGTAAGGGTGAGCTCTAAAACAGCCATCAGAAAACTTCTTGAAAACAACCTAGTCTATGAACATCCCACATTAGGTTCTCTTCTATTGGAGAAGCATTGAGTGGAAAGGTGACTATTTGCTAATCAGCTTCTCGCTTCTCTTTACAGATGAGTGCCGATTTGGTTTGTTGCAATCATATGACCATGATCGTGTGTGAATATGTGGAGAATGCATTGCTTTATGTGCCATGCAGTCACAGCCTTTTAAAAGATAGTTATGGTGTGGGGTGGAATCATTGTCCATGCCTGTACTGAATTGATTACATTAGAGGAAGTTCTTTTGGAAGGTGTTGTCTCATTCGCTCCATTTATTGTTGATGTTGACTTCATGTTAATGTTGATAATGCTCGACTGCATATAGTTTGAGTAGAGGATGTAGGGATTACCACAATTCGTTTTCTTGATATGAATCCCACAGTCCAACAACTATTGAACAACATTGCTTATTTACTCTATGCCATGGAAACTTAAGACCCTTTGCAAAGCCATGGGAGGTAATACGGTTATTAAGTGCAAAATTAGTTAATAAATTGTTAGTTAAAATTTAATCTATCACTAAATGATTTTCTGGTGTTTTGATGAATTTTCTTTCAAACCATCATAATTAAACAATTTTTATTCAAACTCATGTATTTCTGATCTTGTTTAATTTGGTTTACATTAAAATAAGTATAAAAATACATATAGTTTAAAATAAACGACAAAATAGAAATGTCTGGTTTTTGTCTTTGAGTTTATTAATTTTTTTTCTTATTTCATTTTTTCATAATTTAAAAACAAATTATAGGTATCATACGAAGAATTTAAATTACAATTTGCTCAAATGTATGAACATTATGAAAGACAGAGATCAGACAATATAACAGATCCGGCATTGAGGCAGCAGAGACCTATAAGTACGATCTCTGGTTGGGAACATCAAGCTCTTCATTCTTCTGTGTACCAGGTGTGTAAAATTGAAGATTAATAAACAGACTTTATTTTAAGCGTCACTTGAGTGAACTCGCTTTATATAATTTTGAGTTGTTTCAGGACATTCATGAAAATTCAGAAGAAAGTGAAGTAAGGGAAGAGAGGAGAAATGACAGATGGGCTAATGATAAAAAACAAGATTCGGCTAACTTTTCAATAGAAGATTCACCGACTGCAACTACAATGGCTCTTCACGACACTGCTGAAGTCAATGTTCCAAGCAATTCAGGCGATTCAAACTGCGTGTTTCTCGTAGAAACTAACAATTTGCCATACACCAGGGAAGTGAGCTCTGATGAAAAAGACAAAGAAGGAAACTACATCACTGAATCTAGTGAAATGCAAAATAGGATGACTGAAACCACTTTGAAACTCGATGCTGATGAAATGTCCAATATTGAAAATTCAGGAGAATTCAGCAAGATAGGAGACAGTGATAATTCAGAAGTTTATTTAACACCGACAGGCACTGAAGCTGACAAACGAGAACTTCAAAATTCAGATTACATAGAAGATATCGAATCCGTCCACCAATTAAGTTCTGAAACGAATGTCATTTTGTCTGAAGCGAGTGAACTTATCGAATCTGTGGTTAGGGAGGCTACTGAAAGTAAAGTTATTTGCTCAAAATTTTCTGAAAAATCTGATGACACTTTAGAGCCTTCTGAGGAACTTATTGAAACAATTATGCCGTCCAATTTGACTTCGACAGAACTAGAAAGCTTTGTAGATGGTGAGTCGAATCTTTCTAGTCCTGATGAAACAATGAATAATTGTGCTCAAGAAGATATAGATGACAGCAAGTCTGATGTTATTACTGACAGTATGTTGTGTGAAAATTTACAAAACCTATCTCTTCCTGTTGACCAAGTGGAAATAGAAAGTTCTCAAAATGAAACACTTGGAGGGCAAGAAAAAGACGAATGTGCAAACTCGAAAAATGCAGATGATAATGATAAGGGCCAGGAGTACAAAAGCGAATCCCATGAAATTTCATCTAGTGTTCAAATATCACAAAATGAAAATTTCACTGAAACTCAGGCTGTAACTGAGTACAAAAATGATTTACCCAAAAAGAATGAAGAAGTGTCTGAAACTCAGGCTGTAACTGAGTGCAAAAATAGTTTAGTTGAAAAGAATGAAGAAGTGAAACTTTCCGACACAGCAGATCTTAACAACGAAGAAACTAAGAAATTTGATAAAGTTGATGGTGAGTTTAATATTTTTGTTGAAAAACTTATTACTAGTAAATTTATGAAATAATGTAATTTAAATATCACTTAAGCTATATCATTATAATTTTAACATAATACAGATCTGGTTCAAGGCTTAAATTTTGCATTTGTTTTGACATATGTTAGTTTGTTTATTGTTTCTTCACTATTTTCGTGGTCCACTTGACCATTTAATACAAGACAATTAATTAAGGTTTTTAGTTGAGATGAAAAAAAGTTAATGGCACGAGAGGGATTCGAACCCGCGATCTTCGGCTTGATACGCCGCTGCTCTACCACCTGAGCTATCGTGATCTAGATCCACTCGGATATCAACTCCCCATCTCAACCCCACGGCGTATCTAGCCAAAGGTCGTGGGTTCGAATCCCTCTCGTGCCATTAACTTTTTTTCATCTCAACTAAAAACCTTAATTAATCGTTTTGTTTATTGTTTTTTAATTGCCCGGCAATGTTTATCAACTACTCATTTTGTCTTGGTTTTCCTTTCATTAACAGAACCAAAGCGCAAAGTGCCACAAGATGCAAACGGAAGGCCTATGTTTAGCCCTGGTCCTTCTCGGCCTCCATTTAGAATACCTGAATTCAAATGGTCTTATATCCATCAGCGATTACTCTCTGATGTTTTGTTCTCAATTGAAACAGACATTCAAGTCTGGAAAAGGTAAACTATCATTTGTTTATACCCCTACTTGATTTTTTTAAGTAATCACTTTTAATTGTAGCCACACTACTAAATCTGTTCTCGATTTTGTGAACAGCAGTGAAAACGCTATCTTTGTAGTCAATACTGTTCATTTAATATCGCAACTGGCTGATAATTTAATTATTGCCTGTGGAGGCTTATTACCTTTACTCGCATCTGCAACATCCCCTAATGTAAGTACCAATCTTAGGGAGGGGTAGTTGGACTTTAAGCCCTGCATGACAGGAACTTTACTTTTACATATATCTAGATTATTATTTTTATTATTATTCTTTCACAGAGTGAACTGGATGTCATGGAACCTACTCAAGGAATGCCAATTGAGATTGCAATCTCATTTTTACAGAGACTTGTAAATCTAGCTGATGTTTTAGTTTTTGCAAGTTCTCTAAATTTTGGCGAATTGGAAGCGGAGAAAAATATGTCAAGTGGTGGAATCTTACGACAATGTCTTCGATTGGTATGTGAAATTATATTTCAACTATTAATGTAAATTATACCGTTTTAGTAATTTACTAGCAATCCCCCCACCATTAAAGCCATTTTAAAATATTGAAGAAAAAATATTTATATTTTTTAAATAATTTTTAAACAGGCTTTTGGCTATTTCATTGAAATTTTGTAAAAATTGCAAAAATTTTATTTCATCAATAAAGGAAGAACATTTATTGTAATGTAGACCTGGTAATTCCTTAATGTAGTTTCCTTAATGATAGAAAATTAAATTTTTATTCTCAGAAATACAATTTATAAAACATTACTTTTGTCATTTTTATACCATACCTTTCAAAAAATATGCAGTGAATGGTAGTAATTTTTATAATTATTAAAGTCTGCAGCCTGAATTGGCTTTGCTGCTAAGCTAAAAATCGTTTTGATTGTTATAATTGCAATTTTTGAACATAAATGCATTTTATTTATAATGAACTTTAATTCATTTTTTAAGGTTTGCACGTGTGCAGTGAGAAATTGCCTAGAATGTAAAGAGAGGAGACGTCCTTTCAATGGCACTTCAATTGTATATAATAATAAATCAGCCCACCTCCAATCTTTAATACGTGGTGTTCAAACATCTCCTAAGGTAAATTAATCAAATAATTAGTTATTGGCCTTATAAGAATTTAAGGGGATGTTACAGATATGAGATCTACAATTTTAATTTTTCTTCTTTGATACTTTGTTGAAAAATATTATACACAACAGCCGAGAAAACAATATTTAAATTTTTTAAAGTATAATATATTTCTGCTCTCATGTAGTATGTATGTCCAGATTCTTATATATGTGTCGATTGTTTTTTTAATTTTTTAAAAAGATTTTTATGTAGAATAATAAAGTAATATTGATTGCATTCAATAATAGCTTGGTATCAGAAATGAGAAAGCAATAGAGAAGTAATACTCGCACTTCACACTCGCATATTTTCTCTGCTTCACTGAAAATGACATCACATAATAACATAGCATCCCATCCCTAACTCTGCCTAATGTAATCTCTCACTTTACCATGCTCCTTACCTAAACCCTAACTCAACCCTTACCCTTATGCTAAAACTAACCTAACCTCACCCGTTATGTGACCTAACCAAACCTAACCTTACCCATGCGCATTCCCCAGTAATGCAAAATTGACGATGTGAAAATGATCATAAGAAATTTGTGTATCCAGCCCAAAAACATATTCATGTTAATATATATCTGAATTATCTTTGATGCCCATACTATTTTGAGGTATAGATACTCGTTTCCTGCACCCCAAAACCCCTGAATACAAATATTTGGGAAAATGAAAAAAATATTATTTTTTAATAGATAAATAAGTAAATAGATAAATTTGCGCTGTATATTTGACAGCCAAGAATTTTTACGTTGAATGCTTTTAGCACCTAGAAACAGTTTTGGTCTTGGACAAGTTCGCATAAAGTTGGGGGCCAGCTTTACCTTTCAAAAAGTCTACAAGAGAGAATTTTGTAGTGCACTTCATCATCCGTATCACATTCGGGGCATAAAGGACAAAAAGAAAGGAGAGAAATTAAGCTTACTATAGGTTGTAAATTATTGCATTCAACATTAGCTGAATTTGGATAAAATCTCGAGGTGTTATGAATTTTTATGTGGAGCACTAGACATAAAGAGAAAACAATTGTCCCCAGCTGATCCAGCCAAAAATAGCTTTCTTTTCTTACTAAATAAAAATTTGCATATAAGGGCTTTAAAGGGTGCTTAAACAATTCTGAATCTATTTTGTTACATTTTTTTTTTTTAGTCTACTTTATTAGAAGCGCCTTATTGTTTTTGTAACCTTTTATATATCTAATCTCATTTAATACAACCCTGAATATTATTTTCTTATCTTATTTTAAAAAAATCTTATAAATGCAGAAAAACATTTTAAAAAGTTAATTAAGGTTTTCAGTTGAGATAAAAAAGTCAATGGCACGTGCGGGATTCGAACCCACGATCTTCGGCTTGATACGCCTCTGCTCTACCACTTGAGCTATCGTGACCTCGATCCACTCAGACACCAACTTCCCATCTCAACTACACCTTTTGAATTTTCCCTCCTTTTTGCCATTTTTCAAATGTCGTGTAATCAATTTGATTCTCGGTGACAAATGAAATGGCCACGGAGAGCTTTAGTGAAGGTATACTTCATTTTAAACTTATTCAATTCACTAGTTTCGTGGTCCGCTTGATCAATTAATATTAACCAATTAATTAAGATAAAAGAGATAAAAAATATTATATTAAATATTAAATAAAAAATATTAAATTGATTACACGACATTTGAAAAATGGCTAAAAGGAGGGAAAATTCAAAAGGTGTGGTTGAGATGGGAAGTTGGTGTCCGAGTGGATCGAGATCACGATAGCTCAAGTGGTAGAGCAGCAGCGTATTAAGCCGAAGATCGTGGGTTCGAATCCGCGAAAACGTTAATTAATTGGTTAATATTAATTGCTCAAGTGGATCACGAAACTAGTGAATTTAAAAAAATGTAAAACTTAAAATGTTTTTTTCTCGTTCCTAGGGTATGGCAAGAATACAAACACAAGTCTAATATTTTTCACCTACTATCACAAAAAAAAGTTTGCGTTAAATTAGTGATTTCGTGTCTGTGGCCTCCCCTGGTCAATATTATTTTAATTTGTTTCTTTGTGAACATGAGCAAAATCGTACTGAAACAATCGTTTGTTATTCAGAATGTCGGAGAAACAACAAATAATCAAGGGAACCCTGTAAAAGATCCAGAAAAACTGTTACAAGACATGGATGTTAACCGACTTAGGGCTGTCATTTACAGAGATGTCGTAAGTATTTTGTTTTATTTATTATTATTTTTATATAATTAATTTTTTTCATTGTTTCAAGGAGGAGACAAAACAGGCACAATTTTTATCCCTTGCTGTTGTATATTTTATCTCAGTATTAATGGTCAGTAAATATAGGGATATATTAGAACCGCCTTTAGCACGAGTAGCCACTCCGCCTACCTCAGTTGGAAACCAACATTCAGAAAGCCCTCCAGGTTTGTAAAAATCATGTTTTCATTTTTTCAAATAATTTTATTGCTAATTTTTGTATAATGCTGCCTAACCTTTGAAATCATAGACTGCATCTTTAATAATTTTTTTTATAAGATGGTTCCAGAAGTAGCCAGGAAACAGGTAGTTGTCTTTAATTATTTGCCTATGATGAAATCAGTTAAAGAAAATTCCTTAACAGCAATTTAACTATCAGAATGTATGGTCCATGGATTGTCTGAGATTTTGTTAAATTTTAGTTTCATTGCTATAAGGAATTTGTACTATTGAAATTTTTTTATTAAGTAGTAAATAATTTTTATGGCACTTTTTAACACAGATTCAAATTGAAAAGATAGATCTAATTCAAGTTCACAGTAACCAAAATGTTTTGTGCTTAAGCACTCTGTTTTATTTTTATTTTCTCTAGCACAGCATGCCAACACTTGTGCCCTGCTATTTACTCATTAAATCGATAAGTTATCGAATATTTCTATAAACTTGAGGCTCAGTTTTATCGATACTGACATAATGAAAATGCAAACTGTTTTTACGTATTTTTTTGAATAATTATCATGGTGAGATTATATATTTGCATTGGCATATGAATATGGATGGGGTAAATAAAAAATCCTTTATGAAAAAAAAAAATCAGACATAATTGAGCAGAATTTTAAGGAAAACAGTATGAAATTTGTCTTGTTTAGTGTTTTTTATTGAAAGGAGATTACAAATCTTTACATACTTTTAACCAAGTATTGCATATAATTAAAATAAGGTAAGTTAGTTTCATGGTGAACTTCTGGATCCAAAATTTAAAAAAAAATTGTCTTCATGATTAAATTGTACTTAACTGGAAGTTAAGAAATATCATAGATTTGCCAGTATCGTTTTATGCAGATTGCAGTGGACCTCGACCTCTTTTCCCTCAATGGTCGCATCATGTCTACCCTCAGTTCTTACCTAACTCACACCCTAATGCGCCCCTACTTAGAAACAGCAATAATAACTACAGCAGCAACAACAATAATAACAACAATATCAACAATGCTAAAGTGTTAAGATACCCAATTCTTCCTCGTCAAGGTACCCAAATCTATGTTTCTGGAAACTGTTTCTTTGTTACATAGTAGGTTTTTTGTATAATTTATATTGAACAATTTAGTTTATAAGTTAAAACATTACTTTGTATGCTTAAAAAGGCTATATAAATGATAAGTAGATTTTTCTTTTCACTTTTACCGATTTAAAATAGGTCAAAGTCTGTAATTAATACTTATCTTGAAATTTAATTGAATATATTAAATTCAAAATACATAATAGGTTTTATTAAATTCCAAAAACTATAAGTTAGTGTACATATGTTACAAAAAAGCAGAAAGTTGCAAACTTTTATACTTTTCTATTGCAGTTATTAAAAATAGAATTAACGTACTACCATCGTGAAGTTTGGTAAGTGGAAATGATTGCTTTTTGGTCATTCGTGCTTTGGCAGTATGCATTACAGAACAATAACAAAAATGCCTTCGTCCATTGCATTAAATAGCCCTCATCTAGAAATTGGTACGAAACAAATAATACAGCTTGCTGGAAAAGCTATTTTGAATGTTTTATTTTTTTTTTTTTATTATATACTAGGTGACCAGAAAACATTCGTGCGGATTTAAAGGGTATAATTGTCACAATTAAAATTAGTTTATAGATATTTTATTTGGGGAAATAGTCTCCATCAACACCTATAGCCTTCTCCCAACTTCTGTGAAGTTCTAATAAGGGGAAAACTCAATATGCCCTTCTTATAAAAGTTTGGGTCCCGGTGCTTAAAAATTAAATTCAGCTCATTTTCCAGCTTTTGACGATTATCGAACTCCCGACTGGTCGCATGAGTGTCCATTGCTAAGAAAAGGTGAGGGATGGGGCCAGGTCTGGATAGTACGGAGGGGGTCTAGACTTCCCAACCAAGCTTCATTGTCATCTCTTTTATTCAGGCTGTATGAAATCTCAAATTGTCTTGGTGAAAAATTACACCTTTTCTGTTATGAGAAGTTGTTTCTGGGCCAGAGGAAGAGATACTTGTTTTATTTGTAGATTTCTGTAGTGATGGTCTGGCCATGTGGCAGGAGTGTAGAACACCTGCTGTACTCCACCAAATACAAAGAATATTTGGTTTTTACATTTGGTGACAGTCAAATGTATGATCTCCTGGTGTTTCTGTACAGGATCTATTTTTCGTTGCATATTACAATCAGGTCAATAAATAGCTCTACTTGCTGTGAAAGCAGGCAAGTGGTTAGAAAGAGACCATCGGTCAAGTTATGAGGATTTACTCAGCTTCCATGTTTTCCCAAGTCGATGTAAGCTAGATTACATGGTTTCATTGCTTATGTTGAATGCTCTGGCAAGTTCGTGACATATTTGACTTTGAATCAAGTTTGATAGCTTCCCTCAATTCATTGTCATTCAAGATAGAAGGTCCACCAGACCGTGGTTCATCATCAATCCTTTTATTCCCAGAAGAATTCCAACTTTTGAACAACTTGTGGGCAGTGTGCTTGCTTATCGTTTCATCACCAAACGCAGTCCAAATTTTACGAGCTGCCTTGGCCACATGCTCATAGTTATTGCATTATATTGTACAAGAACAGAATTTGGGAAAATGGAAGAAAGAAGTGTCTGAAAGAAAATAATCTGCAATAAAATATTTATCATTAGATAATAGTTGCTATTTTACAGGTTTTTGCACATTTTGCACCATCCTTTGTCACATTTTTTCCATGGATTACTTTTTTCATTAAAAGATAAATATTTTGTAAGCCTTTTTGTTTTATATTTGACTTAGTTTTTTACTTACTGTACCAAATTTGTTACAGAAATTCTTGCCATTCTAGGCAGGAAGCTGAGTAAGGTAGTAATTTTTAGGAATATGTGAGAAAGCATGATCAGGTCACTAACTTTAACCGAGTTCAGTTTTGTGTACTATTTGCTTTTCTGAATTCTCATTAATATTAACAACATTATTACATCATTATTAATATGTAATTGCTAATTAAATTACATAGATTTATTGAGACGGGGTGTTATAACATCAAATGCTTTGGATTTTTTTTTTAAAGTAAAGCTGTGATCAAACTTTTTAATGTTAAATCATTTAAGTTCGAAATAAGTTCATACTTTACAGCATATTGAATGAAGACATTTATTTGTTGATGTATTTTCTATTTTGATTTTTTTAAAATAATTTCTACTAATCGCAATGTAATGATGAGTTTATAAGATTGTTTGGCACTCTTAATATTACACTGGCATTTAATATCACTTACCAAGCTTCACTGTTGTTTGAGCATTGAAAAATCATCACTATGCATCACTTTATCTAACTTTTTAATACCATACCAAATAAAACTGTATTGTTTAAACAAAGTTAACAACAAAATCTACTTATTATTTAAATTATATATATAAATGGCATGCGTGGCCTGCTAACAGGCTAAAACGATAAATTGAAAGAAGATAGTTATAGTTTTGTGTTTCGTTTTGCATCCTATCTCTTAATTTTTCTGTTGTTACTTCAAAAGAAATTTGTTTAGGTAAACAACGTAATTTTCAGATTAATGAAGTAACAAATGTGATTTTTAGAACGCATGATTGCATGATATTTTTCTTTCTTTTTTTTGTGACTATCAAATGTTATTGTTTTAATGACTTTGTTTATAGCATTTATATATGTTTAATCTATTATGTTCATTTACTTCATGAAATGGATACATGAAAGTGTTAATTGTATAAAAGCTCAGAGTTTCTGTAGCATGGTTATGATAATTTATACCATTGCAATGGTTGTACCCTCATCAACCACATGGTTCTGATTATTGTAGATAAAGCTTTTATGTTGAAAATCATTAAAAATATAGTTTAAAAAAATAAGAATTTTTTCTCACTGCGAGATGGTAAAAAGTTACAAAAAAATTCAATTTACAAAAAATAAGTTATATAAAATAGTTAATAAAAAAATTATTAACTAATATAGCTTGCCTGCATTTTTTTAATTTTATTGTTTTATTGCATTTTGACTAAGGTTCTTTCATATTTTCAAGTTTGAAACTGTCTACAGTTTTTTACTAGGTGTATAAATTACCTGTGTCCCTTTGCTTAAGCATATTCAAGATATTTTGGCTGTTGATAAATATTAAATAATGTGTATGCTGTTTTTATATTTTTTATACTCTTTTTTTTAACTGTATGACTTGTTTTGTAATATTTTTCTTTGCACTTCATCCAGATTTCAACATTGTCAATTTTCTTAGTGTTAAAGTTATAATTGTTTAATTCTGAACTGAATTTAGCTGCAATTTTACAGTTATGGTTAAAAGTTATAATTTTGAATAAATAAATTGGTTTAAAATTAGATCACCTCGTTTGCCCCTGAAAATGTTAAAATCAAACAAAGAAATAAAGTTAGGTGTGAAGAAACATATTATATAAAAAATAAACTGGATTGTCTTTATATTTTCTGTAATACTTAAACCAGCCTTTGTTATTTCAACCCTGCAGTGGGTGCATAGTGGTACTGCAACAATTTCCTTTTTATTGTAGTTTTAGTTGGAGTTTATGTTTCGATTTCGCAAAAGTATAGTATTTGTTCTATACGTTTTTAAAGACAGGGAGCAACATGTGTCATTTTCCCGTTAAAGAGAAGGTGGTCCCTTTCATTTTTTAGAATGCTTTACATCGCTCAAACCGAATAATCATGTTATTTTTAAAAGCGACCGTTTTTGAATGCATCCTTTTTGTGGCAAGATGCTCGGCCACAATAGGGTTCGGGACCTAGAAAGTATATATTGGCACCTTTTTTTGGCCAACATGCCCACTTTCTCATTGTCTCTATGTCCCAAATGCCAGGGTTAGGTCGTTGATGTCACTGACTTCTGTCAGGGCTACCATATAATTCCACATACTTTTTGCCTTTACCTTGCATTAGGTCCTTAAGTGCTACCTGAATGTCAGAGAGAATGGCTATCATCCTGGACTGAGTTCCTAGCCTTTTTATTTCTCTGGCATAGTATTCTATTGCTATGATTTCAGACTGGAAAACTGAAGCATATTTACCCATGTTTAAAGTCAGTTCGGTCTTCAGATACATCCCGAGGGCTCCAGCTCCTGTGATTCTATCTGTCTTTGAGCAGTCACTATACCAGAAGGAATTGACCTTCAGAGGTATTCCTTTGGCCCACTCTTCCTTTTCTGGTAAATAATTAGGAGTGATAGTTTGATTAGAACAAACAAAATTGACAACAAAATAAAAACCTTGCACGTGTTGGTGAAGTTTTTATTTTGGAGTGGTGGTGTCAATTGGCAAGTCTAGTATGACATCTGAATTACCTCCTCACTCAGTTTCCATTGTTTGTTGACATGGCATATCCTTGCAGATGGTTGTCCATTTATGAGCCTATCAGTTGCTGCTCAGGCTTCTCCTTGGATTAAATTATGGTCGGTGGAAGGTTTAACAACACTTCCAACGCCATAGTTGGCATTGTACTCATGGCTCCAGTGACACTGAGGCAAGTTTGTCTTTGAGTGTCACTTAATTTTCTATCTAATCAGGAAGAATTAGAAAAAGACTGAAATAATGAAGAAGACTGAAAAGTTCAAAATCATTTTAAAATATTTTTAAAAAACAAGGAATTTGATGTCATTTGTTTAAGTTAGTATTGAATTAGTCCTTTTACTACTACTAACTAGCCTTTTATACTATAAATGTTTATTTGATGATGGGTTTTGGCCTGTGAGTCGGTGGACTCATGTTGAACTAGACAGGGGTCACTTACTGGGTCTGTCTCCACTCACGAGTTTTTTGAGTTATTAGGAACTTGTGTTCCTCACTGAAGATGGCATAATACTGAAACACATTTGAATAACTAAAAAAAACAGTGAGTTGAGATAGACCTAGTAGTGACTCTATGCCGGTTCAACATATATAAATGTTTATGCTCATATTTTTCATTCTATTTGTCTCTATGATGTATGATGTTGCTATTAAGTTAACTTTCTATTTTTACAGTAATTTTGTCATAATTAAAAAAAAGGACTTGAGAACCACGTGTGCCCACTTTTGTAATTTTTATATTGCTGCAGGTTTAACGAAAGGCCCAAAAATAATTGTATGATTGTATTAAAACTACTAAAACTATAGTTTCTGTTTTTATTTTAATCGAGCAAACAAGAATAATTAAGGTTAATCAAATCTGACAATTGGATTAACTTTGCTTTTTAGTGAGCTTATTTTTAATTTAAGTTGGTTAATCTACAAAGCGAAGCATTCGTCTATTTTCCAAATTGCTTATGAAATAGTGTGTATATTATAAATTTTGTTTGTTGTAATCAAATTATCATAAACAGTTTCTTGTTTGATTCTTTTTGTATGTTGTTTGCATACAAATTTAAAAAAAAATTCTTTTTACTCTATGTCAAAGCATGTACTAAAATAATTTAATGTTAATTATGTAAAATGATGTAAAATGGCCACATCAAAATTATGTAATTAATGCACACATTTAAAAAAGCAGGCCATCGTCCTGCGTATGAAAGTAGAATAGCTGCTTGTTTTGAATGGTTGCAAATGAGAAATTCGCTTGGTACTTTATGCATTTCATTTTTTTAATCTTCTACCTTTAATATAAATTGCACGATACTAGACAATTTTGAGTCAAATGTATTCATTCGGTTTCATTTTCAGAAGGAGAATGTGATGTAATCGTTGTAGATGAAAACAGCTCGTCTGTACTCAGCGGGAACCCTCCCGAATCAACAGGATCCTCTTCTGTCAAAGTGTGTATACAATTATTTTACCTATTTGATAATTAATTTTATCATGTATAATAATTAGCAACATTTCGTCTTTCGCAATTGGTGTTTAATGTGGCGTGTGCTTATTTATTTTTTTACATTTTTTAATTCTTTTTAATAAATGAATGTTTATTAAATATCAGTTTAATGTTTTATTAGATGCAATGTATTTAGAGGACCTCAAAATAACAAACAAAATTCTATTTATATTCTGATTTTTCTTTAAGTACCTATGAGTTAATATATGTTTATAATAATTGAATTAATTAATGGGATTTTAAGGTTCCTTGAAAATTGATACTTTCTATTAGTTTCTTTAAATTCATTAATTTCGTGGTCCGCTTGACCAATTAATACATTACAATTAATTAAGGTTTTTAGTTAGATGAAAAAAGTCAATGGCACGAGCGGGATTCGAACCCACGATCTTCGGCTAGATTCGCTGCTGCTCTACCACTTGAGCTATCGTGACCTCGATCCACTCGGACATCAACTTCCTATCTCAACCCCACCTTATGAGTTTTTTAATCGAGGTCACGCTAGCTCAAGTGGTAGAGCAGCGGCGTATCTAGCCGAAGATCGTGGGTTCGAATCCCGCTTGTGCCATTGACTTTTTTTCATCTCAACTAAAAACCTTAATTAATTATTTCTATTAGTGTTTAAACATATACACAGGGCACATGGTATGAAGGTAAAAAAGAGAAAATTATTACAAATTTTATTGGGCAGGTTCTAAGTATATTTCAATAAGAATTTTTTAATGTATTTTCTTATTGCTCCTTTTCAACTTTCACATTTTTTCAATAAAAGGCCAATCCATAAGCCAAATATGGTTCGATGGGTCAGCTTGAAACATGAATAGGTATGTTTTAATAGGTCACTTGCTTAAAGCAAAAAAAAAAAAAATAAAATAAAAAATAAATAAATAAATAAAAATAAATAAATAATAATAATAAACATTGCTTTTAAATCTTCCTAATGATCAGTGTTACATACTGCATCTTATGTTCTTATGATTCAGCTTTTGTTGATTATCTTACGTTTGATCTAGACAAACTTTTCGGTCAAGTCTTGAGTCATTCCTTTCAAGTTGAATCTCAATTTGAAATGTGTGAAAATCTCAGTTGATTCCTGTTCAACTTTTACCCTGCGATGTGCTTTATTTTATGTTTTTAAAATGTTAACAAAAGACAGATGATCCTCAAATGGATTTGAAACTGACTTATTAAATATATGTTGTTATTGATTACCAATTTATATAAGCTAAATTCTGCACACGGTCTTTAACTCAGTGGTAATGGTAGTGGGTCATCCATGCATGTCCTATGCTTAATAGGATGAGGATGATCCCTCTTCTACAAGTCAGGTCCTCATTTTCATAGTAAAGTGTAATTTGTAATAAACTCTTGTATATTATAGCCCTGTTTCCTCTAAAAATAGGAACAGGGGTTCCAAAGATTTGCTGGTCTGGTGTATATGAGTAATTTTTACTCGGCATTCCTACATGCTCTATATGGAGCCAAGGAAACTCTTCAATTAAATGGGAAACTGCTAATTTTAAAGTTATGTTGAGGTGAGCGGCCCCAGAAGTCAAGGACATAAATGGGAAACATTTATCCTGCAATTGTATAATGGTTGCTCAACCTTTATACAATTGCAGGATAAATAACCTTTTATTTTAACCTAAAAATAAGAGTCCTTGTGTCAACCTGACATGGCCTATCCTTAATCGCTTGAGGACGATCCCTCTTCAACAATCAGGTCCTGTGAGCCAACCATTGAGTTTAAAAGTGAATATTCTTTTTCTTATTAAAGTGTGATTAGTAAAATGTCCTTACATAATGTTTAGGGATGGATAATGTTATACTGCAGTTATCATATCCATTGGTCTGACACTTTCATGCTAATAAATACATTCACTCTCAATATACTTATCTAGATTTGAGAGAAATTTTTTTTGTTCTATTTTCAAAGAAATGAAAATTGCTTTTTGTCTGGAATTACCAGGCAAATGCTACATATCCTTGGCACATAAGTTATTGACATTTATGATAATAACTGTAATATTTACTAACTATACAATATATCTGTAATCCGTGCAATACAACTCTGTGCACAGGAGTTAATAAAGAAAAATAGCGAAGGTGCACAGATTTACATGCTTTCTGACTATCAGGCAGCTATAAAGTCACTAAATGTCTGTGCTTTCAACTTCAAACGTGACTGGGAAAGCCTTAATTGTCTAATGGCTTGAGGAAAACACAACAAGAATTCTTTAAAATGGTTTTCTGGATATGAAGGTACAAAAAAGGGGCAGGCCTATCACACATGGGACCATGACCGCAACCAGGTGCACCAGAGTGGTTGTGGTTAAATTGGAACTGGAAAAATAGCTTGAGAAAGAATAACTGGACAAAGGCACCAGGAATGAGAGACAAACGCAAAGATTAATACATTTCTCAAAAAGGTGAAAGAACTTCTCTCTCTCAGTAAGCAGGATTTTAGGAAAATTAGGCCTCTATACCGGCCTCTGCCTTCTTAATTCTCACCTAAAGAAGATGGGCAAAGCAGAGAGAGAAGACGACTCTGTCAGCTGTCAGGAGGAACCAGAGACATCTGCTTATATCAGAATGAGAAGTATTAGCCCGGTTACGGTACAGCCACTTTGGTAAGGCAATTCTCTCACCAAAAGAAGTGTGTGAAGAGGCACCGAGGAAAGTGCTTAGTTTTATAGGGAAAAAGTGCACTTTCGAAGGTCGCAGTGGGAGGACAGGATTTTTTAAATCCTTATTCAACCACCAAACTTCTTTAAAAACTAAAAGACAAAAAAAGACACTAGGTATATCTACGCCCAAATGTCTATTGTGTAACACCATTTCCATTTGATTTACTTGCAATGTTTCCGTGTAAATAAAATAAATTGCAAGCCAGATTGAAAAACGAGTGGCAGTAGTTTGCCGATTCCTGGTCTAAACAGCCAATTTAGGTTTTGTCTTCTTCATTTCATTCAAAATACGACGAAGATCTGAGAAAATTTTAATAAAAATGAAGTGTCGAAATGATAGTAAATTTTGCAAAAGATAGTAAGATGGCGTTCCAATGAGAAAATGGTTTTTGATGTTGCTCAATTTTGAACGTGTGAAAACCATGAATGTTAATGCAAATAAATAATATCACAGCAAATACTTTAAGATAATTCGATGGTGCACCTTTTCGGGCTAAATAAAATGTAATTTGTTCATTATGCAAGGACCGTGTTAAAGAAGATTGCAAAGTGCACTTATCTTTATCTGAGATTCAGCTTCTGCATTTAAATACTGTTAAATTAAATAGGACTCAGTTTATTGACTTGTTGCTTAATGATTTCAAAAATTTATAATTATGCGTGCCATGCTTTACACTATCACCAAAAGTTAATATTACAATTTAATTCTTAAATTTAAAGCTTTTTCATTCTAAATTGCTAGTCCCTATAATTTATAATCTATATTTATTGTAAATTAAATGAAGAAAAAATTATGGTTTGTAATGCTTGTTTGTAAGTAACGTAATTATTAAAAATTAAACTATTAATTTTAATGTTTATTTAATAATTAATTGCATTTATTTTATTTTTTCTGTCAACTTAAAATTTAAGACAAATGTAAATCGACCTCCAACAGATGGACTCTCATGCTGTACATTTACTTTAAATTATATACATATTATGTAGGTTTATAACGTTTTGCAATAAATTATATACTATTATTATTACTAATTTTTTTTTTAAATTAGTGATTAATTTGTATGTCAAATATTATTTAGGTATATGGTTTAAAATAGGAAGTAAACAAAAATATATTATTTATGCATTTGTCTTCATGCTTAATTTTACATATTTTATTTCAAATTTCTCCTACAAATCTGTTCCCTCCATTTGTTGAAATGGTGTAATACTGTTGTATTTAAATTTAAATTGCGTTTTGTTTTATTTAGATGGTCTTTAAGTTCAGAAAATTTGTTCAATTTAGGCAAGTATTCTTTATCTCTCGTTTTTATTTCTCAGCAGTTTGTGTTTTATTAGTTTAGTACATTCTTTAACAGGAGTATTTGTAAATAAATCAGTAACATCAAATGACACTAAAACAGTTGTTTGGTATATTAATGTTCATTATCTGTTTTTTTGATTGTAAAGAATTGTTGATACCGAATGTAGTTTTGAAATTGGTGTGGGCTTTTAATTATTTTATCAATTGTTATCGGGAGTTTGTGGCATGGAAAATTATAAAAGGACACTACTGGTCTTGTAGGTTTGTTTCCCTTGTGAAGGAACAATATAGGATAACTTTGAAAAAATTCTTTTCAAATCTAATAACAAATTAATTAAATCTGTCCTTTTTTGGAAATGCTATGTACACGATATTTCATTTCACATGATCCGGAACACTAGAGGATCTACAAGAATTCCTCCAATTAATTAATTCTTTACACCCTACTACAAATTTTACATTGGAAATAAATAAAGATTGTTGTTGTTTAATCTTTTTAAACTTAAAACTGCCCATAATAAATAACCTAATTGAAATAGACATACATAGAAAACCCACAACTACAGACACTATGATACCAGCAGATTCTTCTCGCCCATGTGCCCGAAAAGCTGCTGGTTTCATTTGGCTCATAGATTTTGTGTTAAAATTCACATTAACACCTGCTAATTACAAAAAAGAAATACAAACAATTAAAATCTTGCCTAAAACAATGACTATCGAGAAATATTTATTAATAGGTTGTTAGTAAAAAGAATATAAAATAGTAACTTTAAAAGAAGCAACAATCCAACTCAGCCACCCTATCAGAAAAAAATGATTAGGTTTTAATTGCTTTACATACATTGGGGAACTATCAGGAAAAGTAGGTGAAATTCTTAAACAAGAAGGTTTTAGAATAGCTTTTACTTTTTCACTTAGAAACATCCTCTCAAAACTTACAGAAAAGGGTGACAACTTGTCAAAAAACTATGTTTACAAACTTGTTTGTAATGATTGCGATATTAAATATCTATATATTTATAACAAAGTGGCAGAGAAATTAAAACGAGAGTTAAGGACACTTGCCTATATTAAACAGATTTTCTGAATTTCATATTTTCATATTCATTCATCTAAATAACACAAAAAACAATTTAAATTTAAATATCACAGAGTTCCACAGTTTCAACTTAGGGAAGGCACAAGATTGGTTTGAGAAATTTGAAAAAAAAAAATTAAAAATAAACATGGAGTTAGAGCATTAATAATATAATAGATGTTTATGTACTGCCTCCTATTTTAAATAATATTTAACGTACAAATTAACCATTAATTTAAAATAATTTTCTTACAGTATTTATTAGGATATTTAGTTGTGTTTCATGTTTTTCATAAGTTAAAAATTGAGAGACATCAAAAACTCAGCTTCTCTTTGGAACATGTTGCATTGGTGGTAGTTTATAGTTTATGGCACCTTTTATTCAAATACGTGCCAAGTGGGACAATAATAATATAAAAAAAAATTATTTAGCAGATAGCAGATCTTTGCTGTGCAGTGGAAATAATATAAATAAACAAAAATCCAAATTTAAAAAAAATTATATTCCTTTCTTTAAAGTAACAAACCAAATTAAATTATTCAAAATAAAATAGAAAAATCTCAATTAAAAAATCATACAAAAAGAAACAAAGAAAATATTTTTTGCTAACCTGTTAACTGTTTGATTTGATAGAAGTAGACGCCACGACTGCTCTCAAGCTACTACTTGATATGACGAGTACAGCGCTCTTTTCTCTATTTGTTTGACAAAAAAATTATTTACATTCTTATATAATAAAAGTAAAAATAACAAAGTTTTGTTGACTTAACAAATTTAAACAAAAAAAAATAAATTTAAAAAAATATAAATTATTGTTTGAAAATAAAATAATATTTGTTTTATTATGAATAATAAATTAACTTGAAAATTACAAACATAATAAAAAAAGCAAACAAAAAGTCAGTTAATTAAAAATTGACTTACTACAACCAGTGTTTAATACTCGAAATCTGGGTCGTTGAAAACAACAAATCTGCGATTAAGAATTATCTTTTAACTAATCTATTAAAATACAGCATTATGCCCACTCTATTAAGTAAAAATATCATTCTCGATCTCCCCTCCAAAACAAAAATAAAACCAAACATTGAAAATAATTTTATAATTAATGTATTGTAATATGTTTAAAACAATTTTTTCCCTTGTGTGTCAAATGAATCTAATATAGGAATTAAGTTGTTCTTAATTAAATTTTTTCTCCATATTTTTTCATACAAAATTTCTCACTAAATACTAGCTTTTATTGCATATACTCCCTTTAAGCTGTTTGGTAGTTTTGTCCCACTCAATACTGAATTTCCTAAAATGTGTAAAATTTAAAAAAAACATTATCAGCTTAAATCTTATATCCAATTTACAATGGTGATGCCTTTAATTAAATTATTTAATAAAAAACAAAAACTTTTATTTTTCTATAAATCCTTATTATTAAAAGCGTGTACTGGTTTAAAATATTGTTAAAAAAATCTAGCTAAATGTTAATATATAACTTTAAGCAAATGATTAATTTTTAATTTAGCGCTCCTCATATCCTCATCATTCATATGAAATTGAGGACCAGCGGTATAACGGAAGGCATCAACATTTCAACATTTCCAATAAGGTATCATTATAAATCAGCATAAAATAGCTATAGCTCAGATAAATATTAATATAATTTGGCATTGAATTGTTCCCATGTAAATAACATTAACTGTTATATTGAGAAAAAAATTGCACGAGTTGAGTGTACGTGATTTTTTTAACAATAAAAAATTATTGTTTACTTCATTTCCAAATTCCAGTACTTGAGTAATAAACTTAAAACTAAGTAAGTTATAGTATTTTATTTTTCAATCTGATCCATTTTTCTCCTATGAAAGGTACTTTATGTTTTATTTTCCCTTTGTTTTATATTGGGCTGTTTCAAATGCATGAGTTTGCAATCAAAATTACCTAGTAGGTTTTGTTTTGATTTGTATTTATAAATATATTATTACCATCTGCAATTTAAAAGTACATTGTTTAAATAGAGGATACATACCGTTTAAATGTTTAAATAGAGGATAATAGCAGGGAGGAAATAATAGATGTTATCCTCTCATTCACTCAATTTTACTGGCTTATAGCTTCAGAGAAACTGTATTGAAATGTATCCATTGTTCCATTCCAAACTATTTTTCTCCAATTTTATATTCCTTCCTTTAAAAGGCCTTTGGTTTTTATTAAATGTCATTCATCCAAAGCTCGATATCCTGGTCTACATTTTCTCTCTTGCTTTCAAGTGCATTTATATTTTTCTGCGATTTATTAGAAAATCAGGAAAAGGGGAGAGACAGTCAAAATATTTGCACATTATGTTTTAGGTTAGAAGGATTCAGTCTCTTCATGACATTGCCTCGATAGTGCATTTTAATTATTATCTAGAGCTTATTGGCGTATGGACTTTAAGGGTGTTGTGGAGGACTACACATATGCAGTGGACATTGTCAGTGGTTCTACTATCATTTTAGGTCTAACAAGGTTTAGTAGTTCTGCTCTTCTGTGATGGTCCTTTAATGGTTTGCATCGGTCCTGGAACACAACGCCATTGAACTGAGCACTTTAACGATCCACAGTCTTAAAGTCATTGTGGTGAACTACTCTCCTGACCTGTGTCCTAGACTACTATCATTCTAGCTCTAAGTTTAGTAGTTTAGCAGTTAGTTTCTGCGATGGTCTTTTAATGAACTTTTCCCATGTCTGGGCTTTACCATTGAACCAAGGACTCATTTTTAACCCGTTGCCTGATGGATCTACATTTTCGGTAATTAATATGTCTGTGTATATTGGTAATTGGTATGTCGCAAAAGAGATCATGGCCGATAGGTGTTGTGACTGTACTTTCCTTGGCCAATTTATCAAACTCCTTGTTTCTTTGGTCTAATCAAGAAAAATTTTGTAGTTATTCTCACTGACTGTGAAAATTGTTGAAATTTTTTTAATTTGTGGTGTTTTGGTTATTTAACACAAGTTGCAATTTATATTCCAATAAAAACACTCATTATTAAAAAAAAATAAAACAGCACAGTAACCAATTTGACCATGTGTTTTTGTTTTCCTTCAACATTTTCTCTCAATTAATTATATGCAAGGTATAAGTTTTTCCATTTCCTCAAGAACTATATTTAAAATTGGTAAGATTCATAGCACTTCTATCGCTGTGTTGGGTGATGTGCTAATCCAGGCAAGCAGTCCATAATTTAAACATTTCTGTTGAAACAGCCCAATATTTTGTACCCCATGGTTATTTTTTCTTTTCAAAACTTGAAAAAAAATTAACTATTGTACAATAGTGAGTAGTTTAGTAATTGATTGTTGTGTGTATGTTTGTAATTGGAATATTTTCAAATTATGTGATTTAACCTCTCTATTTTCATGTTTTCTACAGTTTCTTTAAAAAGTACATCTTTCAACCTTTCCTTAATTTGTGTGGTGTTTAGTGACCGTTAATTAATGATTATTTGGAGATAGTGAGACTAGACCGCATCTCACAATCTCCAAATAATTACTTTCCTTTAATGTTGTATTTTAGCTAGTTATTTGGTGTTACCCTTTGACCTTAGTGTAAAATCATAAACATGTTATTGCATACAAATGTGTAGTTTCTTATAAAAGCTTCATTTATGTTTTTTATTTATCATGTTGATTAATTTATAACATCTTTTTAGAGTGTTGGCTGTGTCGAAGAAGTGATTTCTGTAACATCTCTGGCAGCAAGTGATGCTGATAGTATTACAACTGCCGACACAGTTCATGATGATAACAAACTATCGAATAATACGAATGAAGAAAACTGGACCGATGTTAATCTCAATGAAGATACCGATCACAGGAATATGCATAACTTGCAAATGAGAGGTACTAACGTAATACAAACTATAATTATGTTAATATAAAGATAAAACTAAAAAATGTTTAATTAATCCTCAATTATAAAAATATTTAAATTAAAAGTATATTTATGTTGTTTGCAGGAAACTTGAGAGACAATGAAGGCAATGTTCCAAGGGACAGAAATTTTGGTGATGTCAGTGTTGTTGTTGTCGTGCCTGGTGCTAATGATGTACCGCAAAATATGCCTGATGATATTGCTATCAAAAATCTTCCTTCGACGACCACTACGCCCACAACGACTCCGTCGAGAGAAGCCTCTTTGACCCAAAAGCTCGAATCGGCTCTTGGTTCCGTGTGCCCTCTTCTACGCGAAATAATGGTGGATTTTGCTCCGTTTCTTTCAAAAACTCTTGTGGGCTCTCACGGCCAGGAATTGCTTATGGAAGGCAAAGGTAAAATGTCAATCAATTTTAATATCTCGTATTATATATATTAATTTAAATATTTTCCAGGACTAATTACATTCAAAAACAGCCATTCTGTTGTTGAACTGGTCATGCTGCTTTGTTCTCAGGAGTGGCAAAATTCTCTTCAAAAACATGCAGGACTTGCTTTCATTGAACTTATAAATGAAGGAAGGTATGTTTAAATTATTTATTATGCATTTGCATGCAAAAAAATATTTTGATGAATTATATAAGCCCAAATATACACATGCATACACATACATACACGCATGTCCAGAGCTGAGCCCATCACTTCTCGCAGTCTGCCGGCAATTCCAGCTTTTGTAATTTACAATGAATTACAGGAAGGCCACAAAAATATCTCACTAATGTTGGCAGTCCAGAGTCAGACCTCACTAAATTCAACATAAAAATGAAACAAAACACAAAAAAAGAGACGATAAATATAGTGAACAACCAAAGGAGAAAAAATACTTTTTTTAGCTTTTTTATTATGTTAAAGTTGGATTTGACAACTTCTGTATTCTTTTTCTTATTTTGTTCAATTTTTCTGCTCTTGTTGTTTGCTATGTTTGTTGTCTTTTTTATGTGTTTTGTTTAATTTTTCTTTCTTTTTGTGCTTTTGTATCATGTTGGGAAATACATTTGGCCAGGACAAAATATTGCATTGAAGTTGAACCACTCCCATTTTTTACACCACCAATTTTCTCCCATTTAGCATAAAACTTCTGCACTTTGGTTTAATGTAATTAAAGAAAAGGGTATACTTTTTGAATTGATGAAATTTGCCAATATCTACCATGAATTTTTCCAACGATTTGCAAATTTAGTGTTTTTTAATCAATTTTAAATTTAGCAGTTTTGAAAGATTTAGATTTTTTAATCAAAAATTAAATTGAAAGTTCTAGAAGGATGTCTTCTTTAAAGTAAATTTAATGCTCTTTTCAATACTTTTTTTTTTGGATTTTCTCAAAAATGAATAGTTCAAGAGCTACGAGTAGCTCTATGATGTTCTGTAGATAGTTCGAAAAAAAGTTGAAAGCAAACGGGTTAAGAATCGGACCATGGTTCATACAAACATATACAACAAAATATCTGCTAAAGATTTTCCTGAAGATTTTTCTTTCTGTTATGGCTTAGACAATTCTTCTCAGGGGTATGATATCTGGATCTGTAAGACTCAATAATGGCTTTCCAACGTACCACACTCTTTTTCTAGACATTGCGGGGCAGTTGCATAAGGATATGTTCTGTAATTTCTGTCTCTACTGACATAGTCAACATGGGTCACTTGTTGTTTGAGTTTTTAATTCCTTTCTGTTAAGTAAGATTTCCTCTTTCTCCGATGGATTGTTATTGTGAGTAGTAGTCAGTCTTTTTGCTTGCCTGGCAAACCATTAACCATCCTGAGGCTGGGCCCCAGGGGCTATTAACAACTAGGCCATTTCAGCATCCAACACAATCAATTCCTAAGTCCAAATCTATTCACACTCTCACTATTAAGTACATTCTTTCTCATTTACATACCATATACTCACATTAATGGAGTATTCGGTATTCCTCCATCATCCTCCACAGATATTATATAATTAACTTGATTGAGGGTTGACGGGGTACTCAATATTCCGCTCTCTCTCACAATTCACATTCACGCTAATAAATACATTCATTCTTAACACACACTAGGGCACACAAAAATATCATTACTATAAACAATGAAACAACCCTGTTTCTTCTAAGTATTGGAACAGGGGATCCACATACTCGCTGCCGTGCACAATTCTCATATTGGGTGGCATTCCAAAGCGCCTAATTAATTTAATAACTGAAATGATCTAAATATACTCTATTATTGAAAACTATACTGTATTATTTTATTATATATTATGAAATTTAATTATGAGTCACTCCAGTTCCTAGTTCTCATATTTTATTAGTAAATATGGTTTTTGTCTTCAGACTTCTGTCGCATGCAATGAAAGACCACATTGTACGTGTTGCAAATGAGGCTGAGTTCATTCTGAACCGAATGCGCGCTGATGATGTACTTAAACACGCTGACTTTGAGGTAACGAATCTTGCAGATTTTTTCAGCATACTAATTTTATAATTTTATCATGCTTAAAAATCACTTTTTGTGATTTACAAGTACTTTTCAAAATCAAGTTTATAAGTAGGATTGTTGTTAACATGTAATTTTATGCCCTTATGTCCTTGATAAAATAACAAACTTATTTTAGTCACAATGTGCGCAAACACTGATTGACCGTAAAGAAGAAGAAAGAATGTGTGATCACCTGATAACAGCGGCTAGGAGAAGAGATAATGTTATTGCTGGTCGACTGCTAGAAAAAATTTGTAATATTTTGTCCAATAAACATGGTGCTTGGGGTTATGTTGATCCGGCATCGACAAAGTATGTATAATTTTGTTGGTTAAAAAAAATATAAAAAAATATAAAAAAATAACATGTGATTTCTTGAGGTTGTCGGAATTTTGGAAACTCGATTCTTGGGAGGATGACGCTCGTAGGAGAAAACGGCTTGTGCACAATCCGAGGGGGTCGAGTCATCCTCAGGCAACGTTAAAAGCAGCTATAGAGCATGGTGCGCCAGAAGATGCTATTTTGCAGGTTAGCATTCATTAGCAGAAAACATTAATTTAAAGACATTTTTTGAGATTAGCAAAACTTAATTGTTTGTGTTCTTTTGGTAAATTTTTCCAGGCTCGGAATGAATTCCATGCTCAGCTAGCAGCGACTTATTCTCAACAAGTTCAGTCAACTGACTTCCTCGATGATGGAGACCTTCTAAGCGATGATAGAGAATTAGACGTTGATCTAACAGGTATACACATTTTTTTTAGACTAAATAAATATTTTTAAATTCACTTACACAACAAAAAAATTGAAAATAATTTTTTAACATAAATAACAGTTACATTTTAGGGGTGTCGGTGGCCACAAGGTTTAGTCTTTGACACGGTGCTCATCACTGTAAGGTAAAGGTCCCGGGTTTGAATGCAGGGCCGCAGGATTCGAACCTGACATACTTACAAATGGGCTTTTTTCAAGAACACCAGCTGAGGCTTATATGACCTCAGCTGGTGCGAACCCTCGTAAAAAAACAAAAAAAAACAGTTAAATTTTGTATGTTGCTCTTTTATTGGAAATTGCAAAACATTATTTATGGTAGTATAGTAAAGTAAGTAATAACATAGTGCAGGTACTGGATCGTTCTCTCATGTACTCTTGACTTGCCTAGAGAATTTAAACGAGCCAGTAGCGGAATAGAAAACCAACTGAATTCTGACCCACTTTAATAAAATCATAAGGAGACATGATGAATGTCTTCCATCATCATTGCTGGCCTCCGCGGGTTCTAGTCTCAGGTATGCTAGGGGATGTATGCCTGAACATACAATCAAGACACTTGGGGTCATTGGGTATGCAATAGCTCCCCAAGATGCTCCTTACCCTGTCTTAATAGCCCTCTGTTTGCCCCTGGGGATAGCGTGCAGCCACATGGATCGGGAGGGGCCTGTATTTGGACTATAAGACCGACAGTGAGGGAATGGAACCAATAGCAAAAGTTAAGGCCGGGGGACCTGCGCTGTCTTGGATTTTAAAGGTATCGGGGCTATTCCCGGAAAACGATTGTTTAGTTAATTGGAAAAAATGTATAGAAAAGTAATTCCTGTCATGCATGCAGTGCTCAATGGCCCCTTGGGTGTCGTAGACGAGAGGACAAACGCAGAACCTTTTGATAATACTTTTTTTTCATATGATCAATTAAAAGTGATGTGCTAAGAAGCTAGTGTGACTGATATAAGTCAGGTGCCCCAACTACCCAGCCCCTGGATTTTTATAATGTAGTTATACATGTAATAAGTTAATAATTAGCTAGTGTTACTTTTCATGAATATAGCATGATGCTATGAACTGGAGCATTTTAGCATAAATGGTCTAAGCCCCTGGGCATATAGGTCTGGAGGGTAATGAAAAGTCAGAGGTAACACCTGCGATGTTAAAAAAATGCATAATTAAAAGAAAATGGAAGCGTTGATGGGCTGGGTCAGCTAGGAAACTCCTGTTGACAGCACGATTGATGGATGGCCCTCATAGGATCTGAATCGTAGAAGAAGGGTCATCCTCACTCGTTTAAGAATACGGTATGCGAAGATGACACACAGACACTTTATTTTGTACCAAAGACTGTGTATGTATTCTGTATATAGAGAAAAATTGCTAATTGTTTCACACTTAATTGAAGGGTTTCCTTGGTCCATATAGAAAGCGTGTGTAGGAATGCCACCCAATATACAACGAATCTTTGGGTCCCTTATTCAGATTTTGGAAAAAACAGGATTGTTTCATTGTATAGTCCAAATAGATACAATGAGAGTAAAAATATGAGAGGCACATGGATATGACAACAGCAGTATAGTATCATGTGAAGACAGTATAATTATAGGAGAAAAATGAATTTAAGAATGAATGAGAGAGTGAGAGTGCGAAATTAATAAGTTGTTCAAAGCTGAAACATCAGAGATGGTCACGCACCAAGAAAAGTAACAAGTTTGATTCTCCACATATTTATGTACTTATGTGTACAGTTTTCAGCTTATATTAAACATTAAAACATTGATATCACATTGCATTCTTACATGTACTAAAATTTCCTTATTTCGTTTGTTAATAATTTCGCTTGTTGAAATTGATCACTAATTGCAATTTCAGGTCCTGTAAATATGAGTACAAAAGCTAAACTTATTGCACCTGGAATCGTCGCCCCTGGAACTGTATCAATTACGTCTACAGAGTTATACTTTGAAGTGGACGAAGACGATGAAGAATTTAAGAAGCTCGATACAGAGGTAAGTTCCGTTATTGTTATAATCAAGTGCAATCAGATACAAGATTTGTTCAAAATGCTTGATGGTGGTCAAAATGGATTACATCAGGCGTGACAACCCTCTAAATCGGTCGTTTTCAACTTTAGTTGCCATAAAAAGGAGCACAATCCCAGCACTAATGATGGCAAAATGCTGAATGCATCTGTTAGACCAAACCAGTGAGGAAGGCAGACTAAAATAAAACAACCGAACCACAAATATGGTACAATACAATGCTCTGCCTTGTTACCTAAGGTCATACCCTAAGCTTCATAAAGTTTTGTCAGTGTTACAGACATAGTTGCTATTTTATATGAGTCGATCATAAATGGTCCAATCATACTTCTTCCTTCAACTATTTTATTCTTTGTTCAGTACTTACCGTTCAGCAGTTACTCCTAATTTGTTGTGTCTTTCATTGTTGTTTTATCAGTATTTATGCATTATTTTTGGGTTTCTTCTGTTTTTTTGCAGAATCAGAATATTCAGGGTTCATGAATATCACTTTTTCTGATGTCTGTTGGTTCTGCAGTATCCTATCAAGAAACCTGTTGTAATTCTGAGTTACTTCATACTGCCTCAAATTAATTTGATTTTTCTTTCTTTTTGAATCCTGATGAGTCTTTGTTTGGAAGAGGATTCTAAGATTGCTACCCACAAATTTAATTTTATCCATTTTATTCACAACCGTTCATTAATTAGCATGTATGATGATGAGATTATATTATTTTAAAAGTTAAAAGCAGTATCAAATGGGCATAGTTTCACTGTCAGTTTTTATGGTTAATTAAAGAAAGTAATTTCATCGGATGAATAGATTTGAAAAATAACTCACATATGACGAATAGTTGACCAAAAAATGTCCTGAGCTATTTTTGGTTACTATTTCAGAAGTAATCTTTCTTTTCTCTAGGTTTTAATGACTATTGTCTCCCTTTTTTTCACCACAACTTAAAAGATCCATTGTGGAATTGACTCTTCTTTATATCCATATTTTATTGCAATACTTTTATAAGTTAGTTGCACACTTTCCGTAGATGTATTCCTCCCAGACCAACGTCTTGCAGCTACATAAACTTGTAGTTTTCCCTTTTTTAAATGTTAATTGGGCCAGCATAAATGCCTATTACTTTCCTCAATTCTTGCTTACTGAGTGAGAGGCTTTTGTTTTCCTGGTTGAAATGTTCAGAAATTTATTTGATTGTTTTTCAAATTCATCTGGTGTGTAGTCATTTTTTTCTCAATTTGTTTAGTTCTACTTTTTAGTATACTTTAGGGTGTGCCAATTTGCAGTTTTCATCCAAAGGGATCTCCTTGTGTTCCAGCACCAGCATTAGGCTGTGCTTTCCAGACCAGTTTTTAGTTTAAAACGGAGTCCTTGGATTCCTTAGACACCCTTCATTACTGCCTGGCTGTCTGCAAATATGTATATCTGTGCACCTTTTAGCCCCTTTTAAACTGTTCCTTTGCTCATAGTTGTATTGCATGGATCTCAGTTTGGAAAATAGATGGTTTTTTAGCAAGATAACTGCAAATTTCAATTTTCAAAAATGTCATAACTTCTCATGATTCAAGACTCTCGCTTCAGAAAAGTTTTTTACATGAATGACACAAGCAACTGATCCTATGTTTCCTAACTCAAAAACTGATGGGGAGAAATTCTTATCCTTTTAAGTCTTTCTATTTTTCTAAGAAGAATTTAATTAATAAAGAAGTCCCTTAAAAGCCCAACAAACCACAAGATTTTCTAAGTCTTGTAAAGCGCTAATATGAGCATTTTGTTGAACTGTGATTAATGTTTCATTAAACAAATAATGTTTGAATGTTTAAAACCTTGACAAGTTAATTTTTTTTAATTGCCTAGGAGAACAACTTGAAAATGTAGACTTATTTATTTTCTATTGTATAATGTATTAATTTTATTGTCGTTTTCTTCTGTTTTGCCCGAATATCTTTATTTGGAATTTGGAATTAACAGCGTTTTTTACATTTGGTCAGGTACACAAGTTATTTTTGGGAGGGTGCTCCGGGTTGGATTAGTCTATTTTGAATAAGTCTGATGTATGTTATAGTAAGGGTTAAGGACTGGTTAGTTTAAGTTAGGAATGGTTAGGTTAGGTTAGGTTAGGTAGTTAGGTACATACTATCAGCCAGAGAAAATATCTGAGAGTGAAGCGCAAGTTACATGCTTTTTTTTCCTCTGAGGTTTACAAAGGGATTTTAGGTTTAAAAAATGCAAATTAGTTGAAGAGGAGCCTAGAGGGGCTTGAAAAGGCCTTCCAAATAAATGTAAAAAGCTTGAATCCCAAATATTTGAAATTTATTTAAGAATAATTGTCTATAGCTTAAATTAGTATAGCATTAAAACCAGCCTGTTTGAAGTTTTGAAAAATTCACTAGTTTTCGTGGTCCGCTTGACCAATTAATATCTTTCAATTAATTAAGGTTTTTAGTTGAGATAAAAAAGTGAAAAATGGCAAAAAGGAGGGAAAATTCAAAAGGTGGGGTTGAGATGGGAAGTTAGTGTCCGAGTGGATCAAGGTCACGATAGCTCAAGTGGTAGAGCAGCGGTGTATTTAGCCGAAGATCGTGGGTTCGAATCCCGCTCGTGACACTGACCGTTTTGAAAAATGTTAACACGTATGATTTTGAACTTGATACACAATTTTTCCTTGAAGTTTTTTTCGTTACCGGGTTGTGAGAATAGTTAGGCTTAATTAAGAATTAAGTTGTTAAGTTAAGGTTAAATTACGAATAGTTAAGGTTAGGTTACATATTATCCACGATACAATGTTTTTTTCATGAAGCAGAGAAAATATGCGAGTACGAAGCGCGAGTTTCACTGTTTTTCTCTCACTATAAGCAGTTTTTACAAACAAGAAACCCCACAAAAGTGCAAATTGCTTGAGGAGGATCTCAGAGGAGCATCAAAAGGCCTTCCAAACGTAAAAATCACAAAATCCTCAATATTATTCATTCATGTAAAAATAATTGTCTATATCAGAAATTAGTATAGCATTAAGACAGCCAGCATAAGTGTTATGAAGCTTCGAAGATTTTTAAGCAGTCCTTCTCTTAATTTAGGGTTAAGTTAAAGTTATGGTTAGGACTAGTTAGGTTAAGTTACGAATAGATAAGGTTAGGTTGCATATTATCTATGATTCAGTTTTTTCCCTTCAATCAGAGAAAATATGAGAGTGTGGAGCGCGAGTACCATCCGTTTTTCTATCTCTGGAAGCAGTTTGTCCAAAAAAAAAAAATACAACTTGGCTTAGGAGGAGGTCAGAGGGGCTTTAAAAGGCCTTCCAAACCAAATGTAAAAATCGCAAATCCCAAATATTTTAAAATTATTTAAGAATAATTGTCGAAATTAGTAGGTATAGCATTAATGGATCTAGACTAAGTACTATGAAGCTTTGAACACTTTTTATATGAACATGTTTTGAGTTTGATTCGTAATTTTTTACCTGATAATTCTTGTTACAGGGTAGCGCGGGTTAGGCTAGTTAGGGTTGGGGATTTTTAGGTTAAGTTACGAATAGTTGGGATTAGGTTACATATTATCCATGATTCGATGTTTTTTCACGAAAATTTACGTGTGCGAAGCGCGAGTTGCACCATTTTTTATTCCTCTGGAAGATGTTTGTACCAAAAAATTGCAATAAAAGGAGCTTTAAAAGGCCTTCCAAACCAAATGTAAAAAGCCCAAATCCCAAATATTTTTCATTTATTTAAGAATGATTGTCTATAGCCTGTGTTTGAAGCTTTGAACTCTTTTAAGCATTTTATCTCAATCTAGAAGAAACACTTCTGAGTTGTATGTGCTACAACGTCAAAAAAATTAATTAATTAAACTAAATAATGAAATGAGACTTAAACTGAAAATATTTTACTGTCGAAAAGTGTAAATTGAAAGATTGTTGTCAAATATGTTTTCCAAGCGAATCACACTAACTGGAAATGTTTCTTATAAAATGTATAAATTTGTCCTTAAATATTCGACGACGCGCCTGCCTTCTTAACCCCCTCGTCAGTTTATTGTTAACCAACTACACTCATTCTAATATTCATAAATCAAATATGATTTTATTAAGATGATACCTTCTGAGGATAAAGTGTATTTAAATTAATTTATACTCAGGACCCGATTATTAGAATTTTATTCATATTATGTATATTCATTAAGCGTCGATAAATACTTTTTTACTTGGTTGGTCTACAATAATTATAGACCTGTTTATGCAAGTTGTTGGGCTATATATCAGAGTCAAGGAGTACAAATGCCACTATTTAGTCAGCGGTCTCATTAATCAGCTTTAATCATGAGTATATGATTATATCATGGTAAACCTGCAATTAAAGCCTCGACTGCCTCCTGGACATGTGTTTTAATTCTTACTGACTCCAATTTGTTTGGGCCTCCCAAGTTGGATAAGGCGCCAATTTCACTGTTACCTCACTTCCTATACTCACAACCTGTTATTAGCGTATCAGCCATGGTTTACCTTTGCCTCGGCCTATTAGCATTTTTATATCGCCGGTCTTGGCGTTCTTCTATCCTTTGTTGGTTTTATTTTTTTCGCCTTTCATCACAAACGAAAAAGCCTGAAGAAATTCTTCGCCTCATTTGAACATATTTACATATCTAGATGAAAAATTGCAATCCCTAATTTATACACGGTGTACTGTATAGAATGTTCATTATAGATTATCTCTATTGATTTTTGTTTGTTTATATCATTAACAGGCACATTTAGTGGTAACTGTTTCAAACTTTAGATTTATACTGTCTGCATAAGACATCTATTCTAACATGTCACTTTCAGTCCCATTCCTCGTAGCGAAGTTTTGTTGCCTGTTTTTCTCCCCTTACTTGAATGTTCGATGCAAATTTTATGCTTTTCAAATTAAATTATATGTTAAATAGGCATGTAGGATGTACGCGTCAAGGAGAAACTTCGATCTTCTATAAATATGTAAAT